GTTGAGTATTGAAGTTGCCCTGTAAGAGCCTGTCTTTTGGAGAAGGCTATATTTTGCTCTCTAGATGTCTAAGTTATTTATGTGCATGGTTGGGTTGCTATCTCATTTACCAGAAGTTCATGACTTCTGCATTTACTTATACCCCACATCTACCTTCATTCATAGAAAAAGTTTGGTCTGATAGAAATGATTACACTGATATTGAAAGGCAAAGTAATATTATTTTTGAAATATCAGAAAACCTGTTGCACATATCAAATGATATGTCAAAGAGAGTGCCCAACTGTTTTTGGATTTATTATTATAATTTAACTGTTGAATAAGTCTTTTTTTTTTTTATATCATCGGACATTTGAATGTTCTAGATGCACAATTAACATATTGGATAGAAAATAAAAGGATATGGAGTGAATGTACATGGGACAAAATCGCACACAATACATAGAAAACATAGAAAATTATCAATGAACAGGGCTTTTATTCCTGTTCTACATCTTGACAGTTGATGTAGGGTCTTCAACAATGAACGAATCATTCCAATATTTCAACATTCAAAATTTTAGTTAAATCTCTCGTGCACACTAGACATGCTAGACGGGGCTATATATGTTCATGTATAAACATCCCTGAGTACAGAAGTTGACGGAGTTATACGTTAAGTGTACATTAAACTAGTACTGTCAAATGATATTCAAAATCAGCATGAATGTCGGTCTACATCTTTCATTAATTGAATAGCTGGCAGATGATAAAACAGCGGGTGGTTATTGTTTAAATTCACACCTTAATATGGTTAAGATAAGAACACAATAAACGATACTTGTACATAGCTTTTTCCTTCCAATAAATAAAATATGTATTATACATAATAAGTGTTTACGAGAAAGAAAAACAATTAAATCATTAATATTAATTTTCCCGAACCCTACAACACTTAAATAGCAATACACAAATGCTTTGCATTTCAAGTTAATTAATTCACATTGTTTCCTTTGTCATTAGGTGCATGTGTACTGCAAATAAGCTCTTTGTAATTCATTAGCAATTTTCTAATCATACAAAATGTGTTTAAGTTCTATCTATATATCTAAATTATCCGGATAATGTTTAAAATTTCAACAATTTTTAATCGGGACTAAAATTCAATTTAACATTTTCGTCATCATGAATTTATTTTAAACAATAATTGAAAAATGATTAATATTATTATTTTTTTTTTAAAGTTTCGACGCTATCTTATATCAAACATTTTCCGTCTTTCCCAATATGGTACGTATAGATATCGGTTTCAGTTCTTTACAATATACGTTTACATGAATTGACGTTTGATAACGAAATAATCACCATATTCAAACTTCCAGGGACACCATCAAATGCAAACTTAAAATATTTTTTTTTGCACCTTCAGAAAGAATAATTATACAAAAATAACATGGGACATGGCGAAATAATGTCACTGCAATAATGAATTTTATAGGAATTTTTTACTACCACTCGTCATCATTGAATTTGGTTAAGTTATGTAGGAAAAACGTATCTTTTCATGGGAAATTTTAAAATCATTAGGGACACCACTTTTAAATAACATAAAAAAAATTTTTTTACATCAAAATAAAGATAAATCTAATAACTCTTTCACCTGCCATGGCAATAGTTTCTGATTGTAGAAATAAAATGTTGACAAATCATTTTAAAGCAACTGTCATGTTTTTTCCATATACAACAATGTTAAATTTTATCAGTCCAGAAGTGCTCCCTTGTTATTCACTGATAACGTTACACCCGCTGAGCTGTCCCTGATTCTTGTGTATGAGTGTTTGACAGACAGAGTAAAGCAGGAATAACAGTGCCAATTCAGTATAGCTCATGTCCAGTACGCAATTTAAAAATCATCCGTTGAATACGGATAGTGATTTTAAGAAAAATTAATTTGTTACTAAGTTGTGCTATTTTTTCTTATGAATATAAACGTTTTTGTATCGTCTAATTTGTTATGATATCGTCCTATTTTGTCGCCAGAAAAACTCTAAGCCTTTGTCAACTATAGACCCTCTAAATTCGCTTATGAATACAGATTGCCTCGACTCCTGGAAAACAAATTGACGGAATTCCCAGAAACATGCACTGATTATCCTTTAGCGTGGACATGAAGTTGTGCACCAGCTACTTCAACTTTAAATCTGATTTATTTTTGGGGGGAGGGGGTTTACATAATAAAACAAAAGAATTGACTATGTCATTTATAACTATATTTTTTGGAGAGAGTAGTCGACACACGTGCTTTGGAAAACTCACACATTTTCCTATAAAAAATTAACATACGCATCTCTAATTTTATAAAATAATCTGGAATAGATAATATTCATCTTCCTGTTATTATAATTCTTTGGACAATTGATAATATATTTTCGCAATCACATACCGTTAGTAACTTAAGTATAATAGTTTTCAATCCAAACATCGAGGAATAGATCAGACCTCATTGTTTACTTCATATAAAAATAAGAAGATGTGGTATGATTGCAAATGAGACAAATCTCCATCAGAGACCAAGTGACGTAGAAGTTAACAACTATTGTCAACGTACGGCCTTTAGCAATGAACAAACCCCATACCGCATAGTAAGCTACAAAATGCCCCGAAATGACAAATGTAAAACAATTCATACGAGAAAACTAACTGCCTGATTTCATTGCGTTGTCTTTTATTCTAATTATTGCTTTTTTTTCCTTATTCATATTTTGATACAAATGTAGAGCCTTAATAATAATAATATAAATAGAAATTCATAATCTTATCTATGACTGTATCTATCATCACTCAGTCCCTATAAAAGACAATCGCTGTTTTATCTCTGACACTGCATTAGTATTTCACTCCTGCTATTGCATAATTTATGACGGCATAATCAACATTTCTATTATCCGTCATCTCAGACATCAAGTCCTAAAATTTAATAACTCTTTCAGAATCATCATCATACCGCTAAAATATTTGATAAGTTAAATGTTTATTAAAAAATGAAATGTTTCATTGTAGCATCTCGTATCTGCATTTTACACATCTCAACGATTCTTTAAGGTTCAGTTTGTTTTTCTTTTAATTTGTTTTCTTTTTATTTCAATTTGTATTTTGATAACGATAAAAAAATATGTTGTTCCAATATTTTACCAATTAAATAATAAGATTATAATAATTCCATTTTTGCTATTTTAATTAAAATAGGAACAATTTTTAAAAACTCCTTAATTACTGCATAAACGGACTTAGCTCTTTTTTACTTTCGCTAAAATGGCTCAGTTTTAAAATCTTAAAAACGCCTAACCATTGACGATATTTTTTTTCGCTTAAAATCTAATGTCGAATGTTTACACAGCTTGTATTTCAGAAAAATTAACATATGCGACTATAATTTAATTAACTACTGATGTAAAATATCATTCAGTCTCGATTAACACTTATCTCTATAGCAACTGTGTAAGACGCTAATACATATTCATTAGGTCAATTAATTACATATAACGTAACCCGAATAATCCAGTCGTTATATTACGCTCCATATCGATTAAACTTGACCCCTGTTGTGTTCATTTATCGCTACACTGACGAAGCAATAGATGGAACGGCGGACCAGTTTACATATCGATCACTACACTCTGGAGGACAATGATCGTAAGGGGGCGCTGTAATTATTCGAGTTACATATTACGCAGGTGGCCATAGAAAAGAACAGATGTATTCCGAAAAGACAATATGCATTTGCGGTATTCCGAAAGACTACAGCATCAATTAATATATATGCGTGAACCCCTTGAGGGTTCACGCAATAAAACAAATATAATACTTAGTTGATGTTTTTAAAATATTTTCAGGATACTTTTTTTGGTAAGCCAAAGTTGTGTTTGAGAGGGGAACTCAACAGGAACCCTGTTATTTTATCTAACCAAATTCAATATAGCTATATCAATAACACTTCACAAAGCTCGAGGCTCTAAAGGGGCCTGTATCTCTCACTTGGCATTTTTGCATAAAATTTATACTGTGCAAGAGACTATTTGTTTGGAACGGATACTGATATGTCATATGACGATCTTATCTTGCTGACAATTTTTGCTGTTTAAAGTTTCACTCTGTCTACTATAGTTTGCACCAAAAAACGCACAAATAAGTAAAAATAATGATTGTTATTTGAGGGCAATAACTCCTAAAAGAGTCGGCTGACGATCTCAGCCATGTAAATTTATTTGTAGATCACATTTTGGTGATCATTTTTGCTTTATATAGCTTCTTTCTAATTTTTTTTTTGTCATCACGTCCATATTAGTCATTATTTTTCTTGAAGTAGCTATTTTTTAATTTTAATGTAAACGAGTCAGTATCAAAGTTTTCTTGGTTAAAGTTTTTCATCAAAACTTGATCCAAGTAAAAACTGCACGGTGATTGGATAGCTCCATTCGAAGTCCATCCAAGTTTCAAGAAAAATAGGATGAGATTCTATTTCATCCAAGTCCGTCAAAGTTTTTGATCAAATGGTTTTGAAGGTTGTCACTATAAAAAAAAAACCACCAAAAACTTTGACCAAGAAAATCGGCTTGTACCAGAAAACTTTGATAGTGACAGCGGGCTTAACAATACAAATGAGTGTACAGTTTATATGGAACTGCGAGGTTTGTTGCTATCAAGAATGTTTACACTCATTTTATTTTTATTTTCCGAAAAAATTTAGTAAAAACTCAATATCTTCATTAATTATATTTTCGAATTTTAATACCGTAACGTTGTATTTCTTGTAGTTAACAAATTGTGAATCTACCATACATGCGAACATATGTTCATCTCTAGTACATTTATCATATCATGGTCAAAGTTTTGGAGTAAAAACTAAGGGAAAAACAAAATCAAAAGAGTCGAAAAAGAACAACCAAGACTTTAAAAGTGTAGTTATCCAAAGGAAGTGAGCGCACTCATACAGTAATAATAGTTATTTTAAGTTAACTTACCACAACAATGTGTTCTGTTGTATATTTTGACTCGCTTGACTTTGCAGTTTTTACCCAAATCCACCCACCAATACGGGTAAGCTTCGCCGAAGTAAACACCATGATTGTTGTATCCATCTTTTGTGTGCATGAAATTATCCTTAATCCCGTCGAGTGCCTTTTCACAGCTATATTTGCCATTTACAGAACTTTGTCCACATGTCTTTTGCAGTGCTAAATTATCCACTCCACATAATCCTATTGACAAGAAGAATTTTAACTATTGTTAAATGCACGTGTAAACTACGGAAGCCGGTTAGTGTCATGGGGTTGTTTGATATTTAAGTTTTTATCACGACATAGCAAATCGTTTAAACGGCATAAGTTAATCTGTAATAAGTTTATAGTCATTACAACGAGTACTGAACTAATAACAAGTTAGCTAAGTCGTTATTACGAGTTATAAGGTTCGTTGAAATGGGTAAGCGTGGTCGCTATAACGATTTAGCTTAGTCGTTATAACGAGTAAGCGAGGTCTTGATGACGAGTTACTTGATCGTGATAACAAGTTACCTAAGTCGTGATTATGAGCTACTCAATCTTGATAACAAGTTACCTAAGTCGTTATATGAGTTAGCTTAGTCAATATATCAAGTTACATAAAACTACATCCTGACATAAACTGGCTGCAATAGTTTACTGCTCATAGGATGGGGCATTTATTTGGTCTAAAAAGTTGGTATTACAAAGTCATTTTATTTTTGTGTTAAAGTTGTTTGTGTAAAGTTTAAACTTCATGATCTTTCAAAACAAATGAATATTCATACACAGAAAGGTCGAAAGATGGCATAAATTCAAATGACAAAATTTGCATAGTGTTGAAACATTTCAATGTAGTGTTCATTTACACAGCGGATAAAAAAAAACTATTAATAAGTGACCCAAAATGTATATAATTTTACGAAAATGCTTAAGAAGATGATTTTCCTTGATGTCATTACTACACGGTGGTGTAGGAGTATACTGAAAATGGAGGTGGCAAACTGGTTAAAGTGATCAGCAAAAGGGATAAAAAAAAGTGGCCAAAAAGTAGGGAGAGGGGAACATAGTTTTGCCCCCCCCCCCCACACACACACACACTTTTGAAAGTATCTATTGTGGTTCAGCATTAAATTTTTAAAAAAATCAGATAGAAAACGTTAAAAGCAAACGATATGGACCCGTGGAGGCTTATATTATAGGTCTAAGCCACGCGTTATTCTAAAAGTTCGCTATAAATTTTACATACTAACCGTAACACTGACTTTGGAAATCTTCAACTACTTCCTCAAGTTTAACTCTCTCCTTCGATGCACAATTTTCAATTTTTCGTTCAAGTCCCAGAATCATTTTCTCCATCTTACTGTAGTAGAAGATGTCTTGACGTCGACAGTCACCCGTTGCATGGATCTGAGAAGACAATCTTAAGGATGTTCGCTCCTCTTGTTTCTGAATTTTTGCCAGATATTCGGAATCCTCTGTTTTTATCCATGTACTGCCATTAAAAAAAATTTCCCCGCTAACCCCTACTTTTCTTTTCATAATTTTATAACATATAGTTTAAAAAGCCATATTTGAAAATGCTATAAAATCCTTGTTATTTTTTCATATTTTTTTAATGAAAAGGGGTGCCAATATTAAATATATGATAAGTCTAGAGAGAATTATTTCCCGCCAAATTTTCAATGGCTTATATCTCGAAAACAAGCACACGGACCCTTCATTTTTTTCTGGTTTTTTTAGTTCCTTTATTTATATGCTATCAATTTATAATAGTCTTTTAAAAGGCTTGTTATTTTGAAACAGAGTAGCGAACATCCTTAAATGATATAAACAAGCAAGAGAAAAGAAATACGTTTTCATTGTTGCAATTATTGTACATTTTAGAGTAGTGTTTTTTCGGTATTTTTATAAATATCGGTGTAATCCAATACTGAAACAGATTCGTTATACTAGTAACATAATGATCCAAAAGATGGGATTACATTTCTACAAAAAAATCCTTGTTGGTTTATTTTGAAACGTTTGCCAAAACTACATTGTACGTCATCAAGAGGCTTCTCCATCTTTGCTAACGAAATCGTACGTTTTCTGTCATATTTTATTCAAACTGGTGCCAGCAAATATGTTTAATCCCGTCACATTCTGTATGTGCCAGTCCCAAGGCAGGTACCTGTAATTCAGTAGTTGTCGTTTGTTGCTGTATATCCTATTTGATTTTCATTCATTATTTTTTACATAAATCAGGCTATTAGTGTTCTCGTTTCAATTGTTTTACATTTTTTAATGTTTGCTCATTATTGAAGGCCGTACGGTGATGTATTGTTGTAAACGTTTGTGTCATTTGGTCTGTGGTTGAGATATGTCTCAAAAGCAATCATACCACATCTTATTTTTAAATAAATATCGAATTTAAGGTCGATGTACTGCTAGCCAAGCTCACAAAATGGGTTACCCAGCCCTTGCAAAAATTATGCTTTGTGTAGGGAAACCCCAAAAATAATAGATTAAAAACAAAATATGAAAATATGATCGAGGTGCACAATTGCATTATATTGTGAAGATGAAAATTTCATCATAAAATTCCGATTAGGAGCTTAGTAGAAGGGGGTGTAAATGTGTACTGTAGTGTGCTCATGGTTTGCTGAAGGAAACCGCGAAAATGATTCTGATATAAAAGAGGTGTACTATACATTATCATTATATCAATGGCATATGAGCCGGGGCTGGGGTGTAAGAGGTGGTAGCACTAATCTCTATAGATGCATTGTTTGCTTTAAGAAGTTTGCTCCCTTCCCCACTTTTTCGGTCTACTCCTACGCCACTGTATACGACTAAAATTTTTAGAACATTTCAATAAATTGTAATTATCTAAAAAGAGGTTTCGGATTCATGACATGCTGATACTAAAATGGTACCGCCAAATAAGCTATGATAAAGTTTATGCTTTGGCAAGGCAAACCCCAAAATGTATTCGGACCAAAACAAAAAGTATAATATGGTTAAGATTCTAATAATTTTTCATACATTTTATATGATTAGGGGTTAATGGAGATAGGCGGATACAAATGTGTACTACAGTGTATATATATGACGAAGTACACGTCCGTGTCATCCTAAAGAAAACACCAAAAATCATGTAGATAAAGAAATGAAATAGAATCACAAATACTGTCAAGCGGTTAAGGACAAGTTGCGGAGACAAAATTGGGACGATCGAACGGACGGACAGATGGACGGATTCTCCCATACCTAAATACCACCCACTTAAGAACGTTCCGATTTCGTGTCTGTACCCTTATTGGCATATATAATATATTCAAATATAAAACTTAAGCTTTTGTCGAGGAATTATATATTTGTTTTACTAGTACTTGTTTTCCTTTACTAAAATGTCATCCAATATAATATCAGACAGATATTGAAATAAAACTTTTTGGAGCTCTCTATTGTAGAAGGATAAAAATTGTGAACGTGGTCTTTGAAAAGGGGACAAAAGGGACAAAAGGAGCAATAAAAAACCATATAAATCGAAGAAAACAGACAACACAATGGCGAAAATTAAAACGAAGAAAAGACATGCAATTGTCCATTGTCCATAAAAAACTATATAAAAATTAAGCAACACGAGCCCACCAAATACCGGTGTTAAATCGATTACTCTAAATGGCTTAAGTAGTTCCCGCTCCACTATTGACATCCGTCGTGTTGATCATGGCTCGAAATATAATTTAACTTTCTGTTTTGATTGGTCGCTAATATCTGAAGCATTTTCGGAACATTAGTGTGCCTAAGTTTGATCGAGGCAAGTTCAAATGAGAAGATATGTCGGACAACAGACACCAGGTGATTGCAATATAAGCTTATATACTATGCTACTTTTGGTCTGTTTATTTTTCTTTTCAAGATATTTAAACTGAACCAAAGTTGTTTATCTCATTTTTTTTTTAAATATATCAACCATACCTGTCCTGCATATATATGACTTTGAACTGGCCGCAAATGTGGTCGCGTGATAGAGTGTTGGGCTCGGCCAGGTCACCTCTTTATACCAAAAACTTTAGTATCACTAAACGATCGTAGTTTGTAAGAAGAGCTACTCGCAAAATAGCCGTTCGAGATGTACATGACCACTACTGTTACTGATATCAATTAATGTTAAAAAAATCAATTAAAAAATATAATCATGTGATTGACATATTGCTTTTTCAAATGTCGGGAAAATGATACATTTTATGAACCCCGTTCAAAATTATGTTTTAAGACACTAGCCACTGTTACTTAAAGTAAACATTTAAAGCTGGGGTCACACATTCACGATTTTATAACTGGCCTTGACAAGACCATTCCCTATTAAAATTTGTCAAAAGTCTGATCAAGATCCTGTGAATCGTGGCTGGAAATTCAAACTTTAATTAAGATTTGTAAAAACAATTATTTAAACACGACAACAATCAGATATTGTTCAGGAAGCGTCCTTCTTCAGCCGTTTCCAGCCGAATTTGTCCCGAGTATCCCCTTCTCAATCCGATTCTAATCCGAGTTGTATCTTTTGCATGGTTAAAAACGACCGAATCTGTCCCGACAGCGTTCCGTTTCAACCGAATGTGATCCGACAGAGATCTAACAGTGACCAGACAGTGAACCGAAGCTGACGGTAGGTATCCGTTAGAAAGCTGTCGCCATATTCGGGATGATCAGGTATTGTCGGAACGCAATCCTATCACAATATGCTGTACCGCATTGCAAACGGCTTTGTCTGGACTCAATCGTATTGACAATGAAAAGACATTCCAGATCATTCAGGGTAGTAATCCGTCTTTTTCACCTTTTGTGTCCCAGCGCTGTCTGGTCTCTAACGGGAGCCATAATCGGCACTGTGTGAACGCCACATAACAAAATAATCGATGAAAATCGTTAAGAAAGTCTTTATATATGTTACAGGCATTTTCTAAATTTAGGCATTTTGTAAAATGACTGATTTTTCAGGCAATTTATAAAATGCCTAACCTTGACAGGCATTATATAAAATGACTAAAAATACCTAGTAATTTTGCAAAAGGGCTGAAATTTTGAAACAAAATTCAACAAATTGCCTGTTCAGTTTCAGGCAATTTGTACAAAAAGGATATTATTGAGATGCATGTGACAAAAAAGTGAACAAAAACACAACATCTTGCAAAGAAAATAACTAATGGTTCGGTAGAATTAATTTATTCTTCAAAAACCAGCTGGAGCCTGTAGTTCAGTTGTTGTCGTTGATTCATGTCTGTCATATTTGTTTTTCGTAAATTGGTTTGTTATAAATTAGGCCGTTAGTTTTCTCAATTTAATTGTTTCATATTTTTCATGTCAGGGCCTTTTATAAGCGACCATACGGTATGGGTTTTTCTTCTTATTGAAGGCCGTACGGTTGCCTATAATTGCTTACATCAATTTCAATTGAACTTTGGTGGATAGTTGTCTCATTGGCAATCATACCACATCTCTTTTTTTTTATATGGGAAGGTTTGTATGTCATATGATATGTTTTTTTTTATTGAAACTACGCTAAGTATGTACTCACTCTGTATTTCAGATACTAGTACATGTAGTAAATTAATTTATGATTATTTCGTCATAATGGCAGAAAGACAATTGTTCTTTCAATAGAACAAAATTTACAAACGAATTTTTAGAAAATCGAGATTCAAAACAGTGAAGTGAAACATATGAAGAAAAGAAAAAGAAATTTGTTTTTAATTGACTGATTGCTGTTTGTTTGCTTTCAGTAGCAAATATTTCATGCATGTTTAAGACGAGAACAATTTGGTTTTAATTCATATGGGTTATTTCTGCAGTGGATTGACCTGTATAAAAGACAGGAATTTCGACTGCCGCTTGCAATTGAAATGAAGGTATTTTGAATAAGGACAGAAAATTCCACCTACAGAACGGTCGTAGAGTTCTTAACGTGCAGAGAGTGTTGCACTTTACTAACATGCGGCAATATATTTAATGTCCACATTCAGAAATAATAAGAATTTATACATCCACGTGCATCCAAACAAATTCTCCTCTATAGCATGGGTTTCGCCATACAAGGTCGTGTTTGGTTGTGGTGCAAAGATATGAGTATCTTCATCTTCACTGCCTCAAGGGAATTCCTGGGTCTTTGCAACCTAATGAATTAATGAGACAGTAGTTAACTGTGGTTGAAATCTCTAAAATCGACCAAGAAGAGACAAATAACGCTGCATTGACAGAGTAAGCGTCTCCTGCTATAGATGCATCACCCTTCATAGTCAGATCTGCTTCAGTCCGTTAAAAGCTATTAGCCAAAAGATACAAGTCAAACTAATCATGATAATGTACTTTGAATCTTTTGGGAACATATGAAATAGAAGATATTAATATGTGACGTGTCTGCTTATTGCGAAACCCAATGTTGTTGAACAGGTTACTCCAAATGCGGTCGAAGTGCTAAAACCAGATTTTACGCCAAACAATGTATTTGCAAAAAAATCAGGACAAATATTGTGTAACAGTTCTGTCATCCAAACATTTTAAGAAATAACAAATAATTGTCGAGTTCTATGCTTGTGTGAATTTGGAATAATTCTGTGAAATTTATTTTTGATTATTTAAACTCTTAAAATGCAAGCTTTAACATTCAGTAATTATCATAAATAAAACTGCTCTGTTGTTCAAAGCTGTCAATTGTTTTTTTAACATTTCATTCTATAAAATAATTTCAGGCATTTTGTAAAATGCCTTTCAATTTTTGTAAAGTGCCTAGAAAAATTAGTCATTATGTAAAATGACTGAATCTTTCAGGCATTTTAGAAAATACCTTAAGTTTTAAGGCATTTTACAAAATGCCTAAATTTAGAAAATACCTGTAACATGTATATACAAGTGTATGATACCGGTTAAAATTTTTGGGGAGAAACCTTTAGCAGGTTCGTTCAATCGAAAGTTTTGGGAAGCAAACCTGAAATATTGTCAAAGCACACTAATCTAAAAGGACCTGAGCAGAAAAACAAAATAAGTCCTAGGTCAACTTTACCCCAGAGAGTTTTATGTATGTCAAGGCACGATGTAGTCACGATATGTATCGAATCGATATAATCACAATCTAATTAAAATATAAATCTCAGATTTCGTTATACTCATATATATACGGAGTTATGATTGATCGATTTTTTAATTAGATTGATATAATCAATAACCACCTTTTTCCGGTCTTAGCAGAGGGTTTTATTTTTTTTCATTATTCTCGGCTTTGAGACGACGTTATCAAGCTTACTTTTGACAAGCTATCCAATTAAAGGACCAGAAAAGGCATGATAAACAGATAATCGGATGTTATGCGTATAGATATCATAACATATATCAATGTGTATAACACCCGATAAACTACAATCAAAGTCCTTCTACCCACGCAAAGGTATAAAAATAAAAGATTTCGATCGATCTTTACCCTTAACACGAGTATTCTTCATTCTTTTTAAACTAAATTAATCCTGGTAAAGGCCGAACCAATTAAAATTAACCTTACCCTAGACAAGATGACAAGGAACATGCTGCCCAACAAAATGAAGGAAACAGTAGTGTACAAACGTGAAAATAAATGTTCTCGTGGCAAAAAATATTCGGACTAGTAACAGTTGTTGGGGAATGTTATGTTCCCTTTTCAAGAAGAAGATTTGATTGAAGACTACAGAAATTAAAGATCCCAATTCAGGCCCTCAGCCAAGGTATGATCAGATATCATCCATGATTTTATAGCAAGAATTAAAAAAAAATCATCTAAATTTGATGGAATGTCCTTACCCTTTTAATCGCTCATGACCAAAAATGGTGAGTCTCGGGACAATCCTACAAAGATCCTCAGTGAGAACCCTCGGCAGGAACTACTTGTCCCCCGGAGCACCTTAGTACCCCCAGGAACACATTTATCAGATATACTGTTCCCAGGTACCCCCTCATGATGGTTTTGGCGGGATTCGTGTTACTCAATCTTAAGATTTCTGTGTTTTTGGCGTTTTTCTTTTTTTTTCACTTACATTTTTTGTCTTTTTTTTCACTTACGTTTGTATGGTTCTCTTGGTTTCTTTTTGTGTGAACCCCCTGAGGGATTATTTGTATTTTATAACTTCTGCCAATCTAGGCACACCTCCAGAATACTAATTCAACAACCACATGTACACATATTACCTTAAATTAGGATAGAGCAAAGCAGTCCGCAGCTTTTTAGGAAGCTCAAACTTGTTTCTTTTTACTTTAACCGATGACCATTTTTGCGGAAATTGATATTGTTGTTAGGTTATTGGTTTAACAATTATATTTCTACACCTGCGCAATAAACTCCCGGTGAATCCACGAGGGTTTCAAGATGGCGGCTGATAAAAGCGATTCAGAATCGCGGAGACAAAAGTCTGATTCACAGAATCAGGACGGAGAATTTGAGGATTACGGGGACGAACCAGACTTTAGTGACTCTGATGATTTTAATGAAGATATAACTGATGAAGGTTAGCCTTCATAACTTGTTAATTTTTACCCCATATGTGGGCTTCCGGAGGTTTTCGTGTACTTCTTATGGAGTGGTTCAAGACCACTTTAGAATGTTTTTTGTCTGTTGGCATCCCATGAGTCAAGTTCTTATCCTGATCTATGAATACTAAGCCATATACACTCGAAAATTATGCGCAAATCAATGATCAAAAGAGATGAACATTGAACTTGAAGTATGGCCACGGGACGAAAATAAATTATTATATGCGTTGTATCTCATGAGAGACTGAAAGCAACTAAGGCCAGACTTAAAAATATTTCTGTTTGCCCAAACCCTACCCACCAGTCTCAGGTGTGGGTAGGTAGGTAGGGAAATTCTTTTTTTTATATACTTTAAGGTTCATCATAACAAATGGACACAAATGGCTGTATTTTCACCTCAAAAACTACTCGAGAACAGACTAACCTGTGCAGTTGGAAAAGTTGTAAGGCCTAGCATCCACTAGATATATAAAAAATAAATGTATTTTCTGATTTAGAAAGATAAAATCTTTTTTGGATTTTGATGAGCAATATTTTTTCATTCCTACAGAAGGTGTAAAAGTAAACTAAGTTGGGATACAACTTTGAGATGCTCCCTCTCAGGTAAAAACTGTATTGTATTGTATTGATTATCCTTGATTGGCATGGACAATAGACAGACAATAGATATCTACACAACTATAGGTGAGTTAAAAGGTGTAACTAAGTGGACAGTATCAAAAGCAATTCAGGTGTTTGTTTATTTTTACACCTTCTGCAGGAACGAAAAAAAAATGCCCATCAAAATCCAGTAATGATTTTATCTTTCTTAAACACAAAATGCATTTAACTTTTATATATCTAGTGGATGCCAGGCCTTAAAACTTTTCCAACTGCACAGGTTAGTCTGTACTCAGAGTAGTTTTTGAGGTGAAAATACAGCCGCTTTTGTCCATTTGTTATGATGAACCTTAAAAGAAAAATAGGGGTCAAAATTATTTTACCTTGTAAACAACTTTTAAAATGAAAGACTTATAGACACATGTATGCCAGGATCTACATGTACTATTATAAAGATCTTTTCTATTAACAGTTTTTTTTTCAGCATGTCCACACTTATTTCTGAATGTTACTTACTTATAGTTACTTATGGTTGATTTCCAGTACAGGATCCCTCAAGGTTCCTCTTCACCAGACTCGTAATTTAATGTTTTTCTATTACTGTTTTGTCTGTGACTTCATGATATTTCTGCTCTGTAGTCATTATAGTATATCTCTTCGTCTGACCAAAATTTGTCTAATCGGTTTTTAAATGCATTTATTTAGGTGACTTTGTTATTTTATCTGGTAGTTTGTTCCAGGTTTTAGCAATTCTAACAGAGAAAGAGTGTTTACGGATATTGGATTGGAATCTTTGATGAATGACTTTATTACTGTTGGTCCTGCTACTATATCTTTGTTGAGAATCGTCTGCCGTTCTTAAAAATGAGCTTACTTCTTTGTCGTAGTATCCATTCATTGTTTTGAAGGTTTCAATCATATCCCCTCTTATTCTCCTATACGATAATGTTGGTAAGCCTAGTTTTTTAAGTCTCTCTGGTTTACATTGTAAATACAGACAAAAACATTTGAAATGAGTTCATTTGAATACAAAATTCAAATACAAAACACTTGAACAAAACACTGTTGACAGAACTTATGTGTTTTGACTAGAAACAATATACTGAAATAAACTTGGACATAAATTCAAAATTACACAATATGGGAAAATTGAATGTCCTGTAAGTCCTGTTTAGAGATTCAAAATACTTATACAACTATGAAAGAGGGGCGAAAGATACCAGAGGGACAGTCAGACTCATAGATCGAAAATGACAACGCCATTGCTAACAAAGAAAAAGACAAACAGACAAATGATAGTACACAAGACACAACATGGAAAACTAAAGACTAAGCAACACGAACCCCACCAAAAACGGGGGGTGATTTCTGGTGCTCCGGAAGGGTAAGCATATCCTGCTACCACGTGGTGAAAAGTCTTATTCGGTAGGTCACATTCGTGAAAAGGGAAGCGGATTGTAGTTACGACATCAGTCCAAATAATTATGACGTCTTGCAATGCTATTTAAATTTTTTCTGGGACACCTTCCTCCCAGGAAAAAAATAAAATAGCCTTGCAAGACGTCATAATTATTAGGACTATTACAACATAAGGAACATAGTAACTGCATAACTCACTTTGACACATTAAAATTTGACTAGTAAAACTATCGTTTAATGACTTAGACTAGAATGCTTTAATAAAAATGCATGATTTTTTAACACATTTTTGAACTAATGGTAACAACTTAAACAAAGCTAAACGTAGATTTTAATGCCGAATCAAATTACTGAACAACTTGGATTGGTTCCTCAAAATTGGGCTCAAACGAGTGTCCCTATCCAAATCGGTCAGAGAAAGTCGCACAAATTTCATCAGTTTTCCAATGAAATCGTCATCACACACTTTCATCAAACACCTCTTTCCATGTTTTTGTGTTTTCAAAACGATAGATTTTGTTGGAAACTACGGGCTTTAATTTTAATTCAACCTTTATTTGTACTGATGAAGAGACGGAAACATGTTGTTTTTCATCAGTATCAATTGGATGCTTTCACACACAACACAAATTGCCCTGTGATCAAGCGCGGTCAGATCAGATCAGGTTATTCTATGCAACAAACTCGAGACGGATACAGATACAACAAAAATCTCCAAAAAAAAACATCGCAAATTTTGAATAAAAAAAGATTTTGACTCTGGTGCTTTTTTATGGGTCGGTCGGGTTAGGGCAAACCAACCTATTCTTTTTTATGGCCTAACATTTGTTCAAAATACAGAAAAAACTCAAAATAAATGAGATTGGAGATAAACATTCTGTCTTCAACTATAGACTAGTATCTATAGTAGACTATACCATACATGTATGTCATGATTTTAATGTCAAAACCTTTCCCACTGGATGTTAAGCAACCAACAATAGATTAATCAAAACCTTTCTGATACAATATTGTTAGGAAGTGGGGTATTTGGACTAATTATTACATCGAATTTTAACTGCAACTTGATTATCTGAAGATATTGCGTAGTTTACAATCAAATTAATACATCCAGTTCACATTCAGATTCAGAAGATGCATGTTGCTTTGTCTATTACTGAGGAATTTGCAATTTTAAGTCATTAAAACCATTCCAGTTCACCGGTACTGCTATTTACCGTATTAAACAACAATGGCGGCCTCCAGTGCCAGAAAACTAGCTGATAGACATGCATGTGCACGATTACAGTGTGACAGTAAACTCACATACGTTTTTTTTGGCCTAAGCAATGCATTTTCTACTGTTAAAATGTACAACAAAGGTACTTCTATTGATATTTTGCATTTTGTTCTTTCCAGAATTGCTGGGTGATTTATTGAAATCCAAGCCAAAGGAGTCAGATGGAATTGATAACATTATTGTTGTAGATAATGTCCCAGAAGTGGGGCCAGATCGTCAAGAAAAGTTGTCGAAAGTTATTCGAAAACTGTTTGAAAAATTTGGGAAGATAGTAAATGAATATTATCCAACAGATGGAGACAAAACAAAGGGGTAAGTCTCCTAAGACATATTGAGGATTGAAACACTACAGTCACACTGTTAAATTGAAACTGCTGGTTCAACTCTTACATATGTTTGAAAAAGTGCATTTTAGCTTGTAAGTCTGGTTGCCCTTTTCAATTGTGCTATTTCCTAAAATATTAAATCTGATATGCATGCATGTATTTATGTGGATTTTTTCATTTCATTATTACATTTACAGTTAAAACATTCTATCAGATAAAAAAAAAAAAGGCACAATTTTCTATGGTTAAATGTTTATTTTTATAGTATGTGTGATAGGTAGAGAAGAAATTTTTAATTGAGTTATTTCTCTTGCAGCTACATTTTCATTGAGTATTCCTCTCCAGTACATGCCTTGGAAGCTGTCAAAATGGCTAATGGTTACAAACTGGACAAAATGCATACTTTTTCTGTTAATTTGTTCTCAGATTTTGACAAGTAAGTCTTTGTTTAATAAGCCTACCGCCACCCATACCATACATTTAGTATTTAAGGTATTTTCGCTACAGTATCCTTAGTTCAGAACTATTTTTGAGTCACAATCAATTAAATATTTAGATTTTGATAAAATAAGTGAAATACTACAACTGATAGATTGGTGAAAAGGTTTTAAGAGATTCATAAAGACATAAAGATCTAGCCAGAAACCCCAAACATTTACACTTTTATCCCCCCCCCCCCCCCCTGTAGCGGAATGGGAATTAGGTTTTAACCTTGTTTGTCCGTACAACCCGAAATTGTCAGTGGGGGCATTAAGTTTTACCCTTGTCCGTCTGTACGTATGTCCCAAAGTTTGAATTTTGGTGGCGTCACTTTAACCGTTTTTATTTTCTTCTAAATATCAAGTAATTTTTAAAATTGGAGTTATCTTCCTTTGTCAATGATTATAGTTGAATCAACTACAATCAATGTTTTATACAATGCAATGTTTAATTTTGACTTCCACTGATAAAACACAGATCAAGTTGAATTTGGGTAGTGTCACTTTAACCATTATTGAGTTATGCCCCTTTATAAATCGAAAGATTGCAAAATTTTTAGTTTCCATTCTGTAACTTAAGTTTGCCCCAGCCAAACATTATGAAACCTATACACAATATTCATTACCACAAAACTAAGATCAAGTACAAATTTTTTGTTTCTGTTTTCTAACTTTAGTTTGCCTCAACCAAATGTTATGAAACTTATACACAATGCTTATTACTACATAATACATATTAAGTACAAAATTTGGTGGCAACACTTTTATCATTCTTGAGTTATGTCCCTTTATAAACATAAAAATTGCTGAATTTTTCGTTTCCATTCTCAAACTTTAGTTTGTCTCAACCAAATGTTATAAAACTTATACACAACCATTCTAGAGTTATGCATGTTTACAAATAGAAAAATTGCTGAATTTTTAGTTTCTGTTCTCTATTTAAGTTAGCCTCAACCAAATGTTATGAGACTTACGCACAATGCTTATTACCACAAAACTCAAATCAAATTCAAATTTGGGTAGCGTCACTTTTACCGTTCTTCAGTTATGTCCCTTTATAACTATATGATATGCAAGCGGGGGCATCATCTTTGTCCACATGTGGACACTATCCACATTTATTTTAAATTGTTCAACCAATAAAATAATTAAATTTTAGAATGAGGCAACACTGCAAAGCAATCGTTAGCTAGGCAAACTGAACATTTAACTGGGTAAACATTAGTATTATTGTAAGTTAACTGTTGGATGAAGACTTAAAATTGAATTAGTTAGGAAGACATGATGGCAAACAATTTCTATTTCAGGTATGGAAATATACCTGATGATTGGGAACCTCCTAATGCAAAACCATTTAAAGATGTGGTAAGTATATTGTAACCTTATTCAGCTTCATACTTGTTATTACTGAGAAGGAAATTGACGGGTCTAATCAAAAGAAATATGAAACCAATAAATGAAAAAAATATTGATCAGGTGTAACTACTGATATTGAAAAAATGCATCTTTTGAAATAACAATGTTCTTTTTTTTCTGGCAATACAAACAATGTAAATACTATTCTTGAGATAAAAATGTATATTTTCCACCACCAATCAAAGAGTTTATCTTGTTAAAACTCGAATGGTATATATGTAGAAAGGTCAAGGTCATATTTGATTTGAACTCAAAATTATATCAACTTAACAAATTCCATGTTCATATATAGAGTGGTTTCTTGTTCAAAACTTTTAATGCTGTAATCGATACCCATACAAAATTGTTTCTTATTGAGGTTCCAGTGTCAATATAACATATATACAAATTCTTGTCTTGCTCAGAACATTATATTTTCTACAGAGATACTTTGAATCACAATTTAAACAAAATTGTTGCCCACCACCAGAGTGTGTGTCATGAATAATATTTTGAATGTCTTCTATGAATTTGACAATTTTAAGCAGAATTATACAGAAGTCCATTTAAAACCTGTAAAAATGTAATTTCAAACTTCTTGTTACAAACTTTTCATTAGCCGTATCCAAAATAAAAACTTAAATCATAGAATTTTTGAATGTCTAAAGGGATATTAATGATAATTTGTATGGTTGTTACCTTTCAAAGTGCCATTAAAAAGGTCAAAATCTATTTTTGTCAGGACAAGTTCATAACAAGTGTATGTTATTAAACATGTATGGTGACAGTCCTGTGGTATTATTACATGAGCTAAGGAAACAGTACCTACATTTTTTTTTTATTCCTGTTATAGTATACATATAAATTGCAGATAGTTCTGTACCTCTTGAAAAAAAATTGACAATTTTAAATATATTTTCAGGGAAATTTGAGGTATTTCTTGCAAGAGTCTGACTGCTTCGATGAATACAGTGTAATATATGATGGTGGGGAAAGGACTGCAATCCTCAAAAATTCTCCAAGAGAACCAACTGTATTGGAAGAAAGAACTGTAAGCTTGTTGACAGTGAACATGCAATGAATAAGTAAAGCATCTAATTGTTAGGATACATGACCTGTATTATCTTGATATTTTGCTGACATTTCATTATTAAGATTATGGTCTGAAAAAAAACGTACATGGGTCAGAGGGAAGGCACTTTTAAATTTCCACTCAAGTGGGTCTCAAAAAGTACTGTGAAAATGTAGTGAATTTCTAAATTTTTCTCATTATCCATTCTTAAAAGTGTCTTCCCTTGGTGCCATATATGGTTAAATGGAACATCACTAAGTAAAAAACAATATTTTATTTATACAGTCTTGAAACTGAAATTATTGTTATTTCTCTAACTTTAGTTTGCCTCAACCAAATGTAATAAAACTTATACACAGTGCTTATTACCACAAAACACAGATCAAGATCAAATTTGGGTGGTGATTTTTCTAGCATTCCACAGGGTCCGGTATTTGGACCAATTCTCAATGACAAAAGCCCTAAATTTTTCCCAATTTCTGGAGGAAAAATTCCCAAATGAGATTTTTAGGGACATCTGCCCGCCTGGCTACTTCATTTTTGAAGTAGTTTCATTGAAAATTGTTCAAATTACGTTTTCGCCTTTATTGTTCATGACAGCGATATTCTTTTTGTTAAACCGCTAGCTTTATGCCGAAAATTGCCAATCAGTAATGTGTAAAACACATCTGACTGACAAAAACAACTCCGACAAATGGCCGCTATAAACCGGAAATTGAAGACAAATAAAGTACCGGATCAAATTCTGGAAGCGGATAAGGCTAATTCTGGGTATGCTGATAAAAAAAAATTAAAATTAAAATTGAATCTGCTGTAGGTGACAAAATACAGCTATTAAATATTAACTCTAAAATTGAAAACCAAAAGATATATGAAAAAGAAAGGAGAAACTCAAAGATATTTATAGTCCACAAATTTTCCTGTCAAAATCCTATAAAATGTTACATTACTTTTCTTAAGCACTAAAACATTGTGATATTGGAATTTTTATAATGTAAGGACTTAAATATTACTATAGATCTAGGAGGTAATTTCTTCTCAATTTTGAAGGGACAGTTACTTTTATTTTCACTAAAAAGATAATTTCTAATGTCAGACTATACACACTAAAACTCACGTTTTGTAGGATTGATGGGTTTTCCCAATTTCATTTAAAATCGTGTAAAAATTCCCAAAACTGCCCTTTTCCTTTTTCCCAAAATACCCAGAAAAACCCCTGACGTCACTTTACTGTTTTCGAGTTATGCCCCTTTATAAAGTTATATGCTAACGGGGGCTTTATTTGTGTCCCATGGACACATTCTCCATTTTTATGCCCCACCTAGGGGCATTATGTTTTTCGCTCTGTGCGTCTGTTCGTTCGTCTGTCCTGCTTCAGGTTAAAGATTTTGGTCAAAGTAGTTTTTGATGAAGTTGAAGTCCAATCAGCTTGAAACTTAGAACACATGTTTCCTATGATTTGATCTTTCTAGTTTAAATGCCAAATTAGAGTTTTGACCCCAATTTCACGGTCCACTGAACATAGAAAATGATAGTGCCAACTTCAGGTTAAAGTTTTTGGTCTAAGGTAGTTTTTGATGAAGTTGAAGTCCAATCAACTTGAAACTTAGTACACATGTTCCCTATGATATGATCTTTTTAATTTTTATGCAAAATTAGAGTTTTGACCCTAATTTCACGGTCCACTAAACATAGAAAATGATAGTGAGAGTGGGGCATACATGTACTATGGACACATTCTTGTTTAACATTTTCAATGATTTCTTTTTTCAATCATTACTGTTAAATGCAACACTACATAAGTTATTTGTTGCCTTCAGTGAGAAAGTTTGAGGGGTTTATGTTCAATCTTAGGCCAAGTTGAACCAAAGACTTTGATTTGGTTTCACTGCTTCTCTAACATTCAGCATTTAGAAGTAAGGAAAAAAAACAGTTTCCTCTGAGTCATAAAAAAGTGTCTTGCAGGTATGACACATCTTGTTGTCTCTGGTAATGAAATATCCAGCATTGCTTGTCATATGCATAGCTGGGATCAGTGTTGTCATAAATATGCATGTAATAATGGACATTCAACATCCGTTGATCCATCTATCTACTCTAAGGCTCAGATCAAAGATGCAACAAGTAGAAATTTCATCAAATGGATGACCTGAAACTTGATTGTAAAACTGTAGGAGAACAGTGAATGTGTGGTCATTTATAATTTACAGGCTAATATTCAGAGTCTGTCTCCATTTGCTAAAACCTGTCTATGTATTGTTGTTGTCTTATTTTCAGAGATGGACTGAAACATATGTTAGATGGTCACAACAAGGAAGCTATCTTGCCACCTTCCATGGTAAAGGTATTGCATTGTGGGGAGGTCCAAAATTTGAACAGATTATGAGATTCAGTCATCCTGGTGTGCAGCTGATAGACTTTTCACCATGTGAGCGCTATCTGGTAACATTTAGTCCTTTACAGACCAATCAGGAGGAACCAAGTGCAATAATCATATGGGACATACGAACAGGTCAAAAGAAGAGAGGGTTTCATTGTGAAACACAATCTACCTGGCCGATATTTAAGTTAGTCTTATTCAGAAAATTAATAAAAAGATTTTATGAGACAATAATAATTATTTTAACTGTGACATTTTGTAAACTTAGTCTGTTTTGTTGGGTTTTTTTTTGGTAAAAAGCAAATTCTTACAACATATGCATTCTAGCAATGAATTTATAGGAGTTTTTATTAGGTTTGAGCGGCAGGAGTTGTGATTCAATAAGTTGTAACATCATAAGGTTACTAAAAATTACAATATAAAAGCAAGTCAAGTAGGACAGATGTTTTTGTGTACGTTTTGTTTCATGTTGGCAGTGTTAGCATGGCATATTTGTTGTGTCCTCTTTGAAAGTTTCTATAAAACAGAATTTTTTTAAAATACAGGCAATTGTTCATCTAATAAATGTAGATGATATTCTTCAGTTTGTGAGTTCTATCTTGCAACTAAACTCTTCTCATCTAATATGAACAAAAAAATAGAAGTCTGGGTCGCAAAGCTTGTCAATGAAGAGGTAATTTTTAGATATTGAAGACTTTTTGACAGATGTTATTTTATTCTTTTTATCTTTCAGTCATATATGCTGCTTTACTAAATAAGTTTTTAGAATGAAATAATGGTTGCTGTTTGGAAATAGCTGAAATTGAAATTTGATTAATTTTTAACTTTTAATGTGAATTTTAGATGGAATCCTGATGGCTTATACTTTGCCAGAATTAGTCCAGATACACTCAGTGTATATGAAACACCAGTAAGTACTTGTAAAAAATTATTGTTTATGGTTATAAAGGAAAAGATTCAAATTTATTGAAATTTCATCATAAAAAATAGTCTAAAAAGTTTTGTGCATTTCTGTAATGATTACCCAAAAAAAACCGGGAAGATACCCAAGTGCAATAATTTTATAGAAAATATACTACACCATGGCTAAAAGATGAAAAGACTGTCAGACTACAATATACTACACAGAAAACAAATGATGGATTGTCCAAAGGTGAACTCGGATGCTTTGGAAAAGTATGCAGATCCTACTCCCAAATACAAATGCAATAACACCTGTTTAAATTTTGGGGAATTTGAACACTTAACACAAGCCCCAAAGACATGCATAGGTTTGAAAGACATTCAGTTTGTTGTTATTTGTAAAAAATAGAAATTTTATCATAAATGAATATAACTTTTTTCTATGAATTAGACCTGTCAGATAGAATAATCTTCTGACACAGAACTAGTTTGTTTTCTTGAATAAATCTGTCAAGTGATTTTTGTTTCTCAATTGTAGTCTTTTGGCTTGTTAGACAAGAAAAGTTTGAAAATTACAGGCATTAGGTAAGTATTAGCAGTGGAAGTTTAAAATGCTGATATAGATAATAGATCTCTGCATCAGTTAGTCACTTTTGAATCATTGTGAAATGGAAATAAATGTTTCAGTGTGACTGATTCAAAGATTATTTATAGTATAGAAATAAAAAAAGATTTCCAATCTTAGAATGAGAAAGTAGTCAATCATCTACTAAAAATTTGTTTTACAGCTCTTCTATAAAAGCATGCAAAGCAAACCTTTGATCAACTTGCTATGTTTGCTTGGATTTTTGCAAACAGTAGGTAGGCGGAGTTTCAATCTCTTTAATATATACTGGGATTTGATTGGACAATAAAAATTGACATGCAATGAAGTTAATGTTTATTGTCCAATCAAATTCCATTATATAGTAAACAGACTGAAACAGACTACCTACCTTTTGTTTACAAACATCCAAACAAACATAGCAAGGAAGTTGATCAAAGGTTTGCTTTGCATGCTTTTATAGAAGAGCTGTAAAAAAGGATTAACAATTGATAGGATAGTTTTCCTGTTCTTCATATCAGCAAGAAACATTAAAATCTTTGTTTTCTTCAGTCATAAAAAAAAAAAAAGAACTTTTATGTTTCCAAATTTAGCATTTTACAGTGTTTTTGCTAGTGCTCGTCATTTTCGTCGTTTACAAAAAGGTTTTCAAAATGACGAAAGTTTTTCAAATCAATTTCGTCACTTAAATTTGAAAAGTGTAAGAATATTTTGGCATGAAAATACTATAATTCTACCTGTCTTCATGTTTTTGACATGTTTATGACCCTCATCTGATTAACATTTACAGGTGTTGAAAGTTGTAATTACAGGTAATCCGCTTATCACCATCGGATGGGTCACAAATCTGTTAATTAGTAAACCCCATAAATTATTGACCATCATAATTATTTTTCCCAGTAATATCGGTCAGTCTGCATTTGAATTTCAATATTTCTCAAACGACCACAATTTGCAGTTAGTTTATCAATTTCGTCATTTGAACAAAATGTTTTCCCCCACGGACAGTCCACATTTTAATTTCAATATTTCTCAAACGATCACAATTTGCAGTTTATATTTAAGCACTACATCTATCAAATTACGCAATAACTGCCTGAGCATGCCTAAGTCCTTCAAAGATGTATAGCTAGTAATACATATCTTTGGTCCATTGCTTTTACCCAAAAAAAGGTTGATTTTCATCTCACGCAAAAGTGACTAAAGCCCTCAAAATCCTAGCTGAAACCCTGATTTTATATTTATGTACTTCTGATTCAGAAATTACAACTTATGAAATGTTTCAGTTCTAAAAGAAATGCATTGTAATTGCAAAGATTTTGAATAAAATATGACATAGGATGAACTGTTATTCCAGTTGATACAAAGAAGAGTTTTGTAGAGCAAAAATTGAAGTAATTCATTACAGTTATATCATATTATAAAATTTTGTTTTCAATAGAGACTTCAGCTGGTCCCCTACAGATAACCTTATAGCTTATTGGGTACCAGAAGATCAAAATGTACCAGCTAGGGTGACATTAATACAGATGCCAAGCAGACAGGAAGTGTGTGTCAAGAATCTCTTTAATGTTGCAGACTGTAAAATGCATTGGCAAAAGAATGGAGACTACCTTTGTGTCAAAGTAGATCGATATTCCAAAGCCAAAAAGGTGGAAGAGAAAGATCAGTACAAATATAGTGTAAGTAACTGTGCACGCTTGTTTAATCCTGCAAATTCAGAAATTTTTTGATATTTTTTTTTGTGCGAAAATTGTGACAGGATATGATTTCGCAAAGAGAAAACTTGCATTTTTAAATTTTGATCCCGATATACTACGTGGTTAAAAAAAAATCCTAGTCTCTCATTCTGTCTTGAACAGAAAAGCAACAGTTGTCCAGACCTTTGTTGATTGATTTTGATTTTTGGTGTTTTTACGCAACGTTTAAGCACCGCTTTTGGGCTATTTAGTGGCGGCCAGTTTTTATACGACCGCAAACAAATTTTGTGGTCGTATATTGGTATGACATTGGCATCGTCGTTGCCGTCGTCCGAAGACACATTGGTTTTCGCACTCTAACTTTAGTTTAAGTGAATGGATCTCTATGAAATATTACCACAAGTTCAATACCACAAAAGGAAGGTTGGGATTGATTTTGGGGGTTATGGTACCAACAGTTAAGGAATAAGGGGCCAAAAATAAGCATTTTTGTAACTTCCAGACATAACTTGTGTGTTAGTGTATGGATCTCTCTGACATTGTACCACAAGGTTCCATATCACAAAGGGAAGGCTGGGATTGATTTTGGGGGTAATTGCCTCAAAATTTTAGGAATTAGGGGCCAAAAAAGGGACAAAAAACAAGCATTTTCCTAGTTTCATAACAATAACTTGTGTGTAAGTCTATGGATCTTTCTGAAATTGTACTACAAGATTCCATATCACAAAGGGAAAGCTGGAATTGAGTTTGGGAGTAATTGCCCAAAACGTTTAAGAATAAGGGGCCAAAAATAAGCATTTTTCTAGTTTCCAGACAATAACTTGTGTTCAAGTGTATGGATCTCTCAGAAATTGTACTGCAAGGTTCCATATCACAAAGGGAATGTTTGGATTGGTTTTGGGGGTAATTGCCTCAAAATTTTAGGAATTAGGGGCCAAAAAAGGGACAAAAAACAAGCATTTTCCTAGTTTCATGACAATAACTTGTGTGTAAGTCTATGGATCTTTCTGAAATTGTACTACAAGGTTCCATATCACAAAAGGAAAGCTGGAATTGAGTTTCGGGGTAATTGCCCAAAACGTTTAAGAATAAGAACCAAAAATAAGCATTTTTCTAGTTTCCAGACAATAACTTGTGTTCAAGTGTATGGATCTCTCTGAAATTATACTGCAAGGTACCATACCACAAAGGGAAGGCTGGGATTGATTTTGGGGGTAATTGCCTCAAAATTTTAGGAATTAGGGGCCAAAAAGGGGCAAAAAACAAGCATTTTTCTAGTTTCAGGACAATAACTTGTGTTTAAGTGAATGGATCTTTACGAAATGGTACTACAAGGTTCCATATCACAAAGGGAAAGCTGGGTTTGAGTTTGTGGGTAAATTCCCTAAATGTTTAGGAATAAGGGGCCAAAAAACAAGCATTTTTCTAGTTTCCAGACAATAACTTGTGTTCAAGTGTATGGATCTCTATGAAATTGTACTGCAAGGAACCATACTACAAAGGGAAGGCTGGGATTGAGTTTGGGGGTGATGAATCATAAGGGGGTTCAAAAAATTTGGGGGGAATTTTTTTCCTTTTTTTTTCTTTAAAATTTTCCATTTTAAATTGGTTATTTCTGATTTATATATAAAAGCAAATAATGATGATATGGTTTGAATAGGTAAATTAAAAATTTTTTAAGTTCTTAGACCACATTCATTCTGTGTCAGAAACCTATGCTGTGTCAAATATTTAATCACAATCCAAATTCAGTGCTGTATCAAGCTTGAATGTTGTGTCCATACTTGCCCCAACTGTTCAGGGTTCGACCTCTGCGGTCGTATCAAGCTGCGCTCAGCGGAGCATTTTATTATTGGTGGAGGAAGCCGGAGTGCCCGGAGAAAACAACCGACATTGATAGGAAAACTGACAATCCTAGTCAATTAAGATTGGAGTCGAGTGCACCCGCACAAGCAGGGTTCGAACTCACAACCTCAGTGTTGACTGGCTAGTGATTACAGTAGTAACTACTTAGACCACTCAGCCATCGAGGCCCCCCAGACCTTTGATGTTATGCCTGAAGAAGATGCATGGTTTATAAGTGTGAATTATAATGTTGTAGATAGATATATAGATTTAATTGATCAAATATCAACATGAAACATTACGAATGCAGTAGTATAAAACAATTGCAGACATGTTGTACAACATACTAAAATCATTAAACAATTGTTAACGCTAAATCTGAATTGCCCCTTAAATCCTCACAGCTTATTTCCAATGTGGTCCATTTATGTTATATTCTTAAAAATATAATAATATAGTTATAAAAAAATCATGACTTTGCAAGGTTTTATAGTAATTATGATAAAAGTAATTGATGATGATGTTAACTAGAACATTCATTATTTCTTTTTCTTCGTCTGTTTTAACTTTGAGTATTAAAAGTAGAAAATCTGCACACAGTTCTTATCAGTTATTCAGTTATTCATTATAATGATCAATGTTAAAAGTTGAAGTTTGAACAGTGTCTTATATATATTGTATTGTTCTATATTGCAGGGAATGTATTACAACTTTGAATTGTTTAGGATAAGAGAGAAACAGATTCCTGTAGATAAAGTAGAAGTTAAAGGTAATGATTTCATATTTTGGTGGCAAATTTTGACTGGAAAAGTAGCATTAATGTAGTTATCCTACAAATTTATATTTAGGTTAACTTGTGTTATCTAACTGCTGTTTTCCGCACATCCTCTTTAATGCACGAAGATTTTCAATGTAAGCATATTTTTTTTTTGGAGGTCAGAATTCATGCTGATTACGTCAAAAGACAACCAAATGACAACACCCTACGGAAAAGTTGTAAATAGTGTGTGAAATTTATTTTAATTTAAATATATTATGTTTATAAGGTGATAAGAAAATTCAAGGACTAAAATTTTTCAATCATGCAAACCCATGAAAAACAACAAACATCAATTTGATAAAGTTGTACAGTAAGGGATGAGTTAAAAGGTATTGGAGATTTATAGTTTAGAGTAAAAACATTGCAACATCTACTAATATACTGTAAAACTTTGAATTTAATATAGTGTCCTTTAAATGATTGCATTATTGTCCCCTGCTATGGAATTATTTGAGGATTTTTCTCTTCATATTTTCAGCTCACCTGGCCCTTAGTATTACAGGATGACAATGTAAAAAGTATTTTTCTTTCAGAAAGTGTCATGGCCTTTGCCTGGGAACCAACAGGAAATAAATTTGCCTTTATCCATGGAGAGAGTCCTAGGATATCTGTTTCATTTTACAGTATAAGAGCTGGCAAGGTAGAATTAATGAGTAAGTGAAAATTTGCTATGTCCGCTATGTAGAGATTTTGAAATCACCTTTTCGTCCTTTGACAAGAAAATATTAGTAAGCAAGACCTCTAAGTTTCATTAAGAATCAAAAAGCATTTTTCAAATCAGCAGGTCTGGTAAATTTGATGAAGGGAGCTACAAAACTTTCGATGGTTGCTGGTTAAATGTCAGGATACACAAACAATATTCCTACCTAATAAAATCTATATTAAATGAAATTGCACTTTTTATTAAGGTTCTTCATCTTGATAGTTACTGGAAGATCTTGTACAACAAGCTTAAGAACTCATACTGTATAGATAAGTTCTGGTTTGACCATACGATATGAACCCTTCACAGACAATTGAATACAATAAAATTAAAACAGAGAATCTGAAATGAAGTTATTGCTTGATATCATAGGGTAATTTCATGAATATTGGTGAATATTGTCCCAACTAGAGTCTTATATTGCACAAGCTTGTGAGTGCATTATGTATTCTACAAGATATAATATTCACCTTTATTCAGAAGTTTTGCAATTATTATATTTCGTTAGTAGATCAGTTTCTAATTTGAAGAATTTTATATTTTTAGAAACTTTAGAAAGAAGACAAGCTAACCATTTGTTTTGGAGTCCTGCTGGACAGTTTATAGTTTTAGCTGGACTTAGAAAGTAAGTTATGCAATAATGATATGTGATAAGTTCAATATCCCCTATCAAGGATGGAGTTTTGATTAATTCGTTGTCTCAACAGATAAGCCTGTATAAGGGTTTCCTATTTAAATGTACTAAATAACTAGCACACATTAGAATGAGGAGGTGTTTCCAGTTTCTTTAACATGATTAATGTCCTCTATAGTTAAGATTATTTTGTCTTTAAAGCCATTCCAATAAAATTAAATGATTTCATGCACTTATAATTAACTATATATATTTTCACCAAATTTGAAGTAAGCATGATATTTTGCACTGTATAATAATTTAACTGATGGATTTGTTAAAAAAAAACTTTATGTTTGCTTCCAATGATTTGAGTGACTGCCAAGTTGTTCAAAAGCTATAAAAATCTTTTTACAAATACTGTATACTGTGGATTTCGTGGTTACAGGTGAACCATGAATTCACACGTTCAACTAAGTACAAATTTTCTAAAGGTGTGTATGTAGACTTTTGTAAAACCACGAAATGAAATATTCAAGAAAATACCAATTATCTTAATCCACAATATTTGTACCCACGAAAAATAAATGAATCCATTGTATAAAACAATGTATATCACTGACCTTTTTCAGTATGAATGGTGTCTTGGAGTTTGTAGATGCATCAGATGTTACAGTGATGGCCAATACTGAGCATTTCATGGCAACAGATGTAGAATGGGATCCTACAGGGAGATATGTAGTCTCAGCTGTCAGCTGGTGGGGTCATAAGGTTAGTAACAATCTTATTGAGTTGCTTATATGGAAATATCCGTCACATTTACGTCTTGTCTGCAGTAAAGAGACCGTGCATGCTGTCAGTGTTGTCAACTATTGTTAAAAGTTCAAAAACCAAATGATAGTGATTTGTTATTTAGTTTGAAACATGCCTAAAATGTATTTTTGTCGAGCCTGCGACTTTTGTCGCAGAAAGCTCGACATAGGGATAGTGATCCGGCGGCGGCGGCGGCGTTAGCTAACTCCTTAAAAGCTTTATATTTTAGAAGGTGGAAGGTCTGGATGCTTCATACTTTGTATATGGATGCCTCATGTTACGAAGTTTCCGTCAGTCACATGTCCAATGTCCTTGACCTCATTTTCATGGTTCAGTGACTACTTGAAAAAAAAGTTAAGATTTTTTGTAATGTTATATTCTCTCTTATTATAAGTAATAGGATAACTATATTTGGTATGTGCGTACCTTGCAAGGTCCTCATGCCCGTCAGACAGTTTTCACTTGACCTTGACCTCATTTCATGGATCAGTGAACAAGGTTAAGTTTTGGTGGTCAAGTCCATATCTCAGATACTATAAGCAATAGGTCTAGTATATTCGGTGTATGGAAGGACTGTAAGGTGTACATGTCCAACTGGCAGGTGTCATCTGACCTTGACCTCATTTTCATGGTTCAGTGGTTATAGTTAAGTTTTTGTGTTTTGGTCTGTTTTTCTTATACTGTATGCCATAGGTCTACTATATTTGGTGTATGGAATGATTGTAAGGTGTACATGTCTAGCGGGCAGGTGTCATCTGACCTTGACCTCATTTTCATGGTTCAGTGGTCAAAGTTAAGTTTTTGAGTTTTGGTCTTTTTTTCTAATACTATATGCAACAGTTCAACTATATTTGGTATGTGCGTACCTTGCAAAGTCCTCATGCCGTCAGACAGTTTTCACTTGACCTCGACCTCATTTCATGGATCATTGAACAAGGTTAAGTTTTGGTGGTCAAGTCCATATCTCAGATACTATAAGCAATAGGTCTAGTATATTCGGTGTATGGAAGGACTGTAAGGTGTACATGTCCAACTGGCAGGTGTCATCTGACCTTGACCTCATTTTCATGGTTCAGTGGTTATAGTTAAGATTTTGTGTTTTGGTCTGTTTTTCTTATACTGTATGCCATAGGTCTACTATATTTGGTGTATGGAATGATTGTAAGGTGTACATGTCTAGCGGGCAGGTGTCATCTGACCTTGACCTCATTTTCATGGTTCAGTGGTCAAAGTTAAGTTTTTTGAGTTTTGGTCTTTTTTTCTAATACTATATGCAATAGTTCAACTATATTTGGTGTATGGAAATATTTTATGATCTATTTGGCAGTCACGCAGGTTTTATTTGACCTTGACCTCATTTTCAAGGTTCATTGCTCAGTGTTAAGTTTTTGTGTTTTGGTCTGTTTTTCTTAAACTATAAGCAATAGGTCAACTATATTTGTTGTATGGAAGAATTGTTAGCTGTACATGCCTGCCTAGCATAGTTCATCTGAACTTGACCTCATTTTCATGGTTCATTGGTCAATGTTTAGTTTACTTGGTTAATGTTAAGTTTATGTGACAGTTGTAATAAAGCTTTATATTTAGGACTATCAGCATAATATCAATGATTAGTAAAGAAGGCGAGACATTTCAGCGTGTGCACTCTTGTTTATTTTCTCAATCGAATTTTGTTTTGTTTTGCATTACTCATACCTGGGCTTTTAGAATATCAATATTGAGTTGACTGCATTTTTATGCCCCACCTGTGATAGTAGTAGGGGCATTATGTTTTCTGGTCTGTGCGTCTGTTCAACTGTCTGTCCTGCTTCAGGTTAAAGTTATTGGTCAATGTAGTTTTTGATGAAGTTGAAGTCCAGTCAACTTGAAACTTAGTACACATGTTCCGTTTGATATGATCTTTTTAATTTTAATGCCGAATTAGATTTTTGACCCCAATTCCTAGGTCCACTGAACAAAGAAAATATAGTGCGAGTGGGGCATCCGTGTACAATGGACACATTATTCTTGTTTTAACAATTAACTCATAAATGCACTGAAGAGAAAATAGAAACACCACTATCAAGGAAAGGAAAATACACAATTAGAAAAAACTTGTCATATTTGTCATAAATTTTGGTATACCATTTGAAGACTACCATTAAAAATAATAAAAATATCTAGTTCAGAAAAATAGAAAATCTAGGTCTGAAGAGGATAGACCAGTACATATTTCACTTTTATGGGTGGATTTATTAATAGTAAGTTTTAAGAAATAAATTTAATTGTGTTGTTAGAAAAGATTTGTATTATTTAGAGATAAAAGTTGGTCTAAATATCTCCAGATAATGTTAAAAATATGTATCATGTTTTGTTACTTTAGGGGTTTTATGCTGTTAGCCATAAAATACAATGAATTGTAGTAAGTGTAAAAATCTGCAATAAGATGAGCACAATTAGTTCCTCTTCAAAATACCCATAACTTGACTGTTTACTTAATATCTTAAACAAGCAAAAATATTAAGCAAAAACTGATTATTTCTTAACATGTCTAAATGTCTGCTGGAAAAAAGGGATATGATGAATACTTTAACTATATTAAATGAACATTTTGTTTCTGACAGGTTGACAATGCTTACTGGATGTGGTCATTCCAAGGACGATTATTACTGAAACAGCCTCAAGAGAGGTTCTGTCAACTACAGTGGAGACCTAGACCTTCATCTTTACTAACCACCGAACAGATTAAGGTAAAATCTATATACAGTGTGACTACCATATCAAATGGAATATGACAGATTGGGTTATTATAGGGTTGTTCCAATTTAGGATATGCAACTGAATTGGTTGAACAAATTATCTACTGTAAATTCAGAAATTATTGCATGCATTTATTATTACGATTTTTGAAGAATGGAAATAAATGCAAGATTAATTATTGCGATTTCAGAATAAGCTGCATACAGATATATGCATCAGATATCAGAATGCGAGTTCTTATTATTGCGATACTCACACAGTCGCATTATTCGCATTAATAAAAACCTCGCAATAATTTCTGAATTTACAGTATTGCAAATTAGGATTTAAATTTGTATTTATTAAGTCACTCAAACAAAGTTTGGGAAGACTTATTGTTTTTGCTCAGTTCTTATTGTTATTCTTCTTCTTCTTCTTCTTCTTCTTCTAAAGCCCATTAAATGAAATACAGGGTTAGTCCCCAGGGGGTCACCCCCACCCCCTGCCATTTAAGAAAGTTCTAATACCTTGTAAGTGGTCAAGATCCCCACCCCTAAACCATATATATTCTGGTTTGTCATGCTAAGATGGTTTGAATGATATACATGGTTAGTCCCCAGGGGTCATCCTGACCCCCTGCCATTTGAGAAAGTTCTAATATCTTGTAAATGGTTGAGATCCCCACCCCTAAACCATATATATTCTGGTTTGTCATGATAAAGCACATCAAATGTTATACAGGTTTAGTCCCCAGGGGTCACCCCCACCCCCTGCCATTTAAGAAAGTTCTAATATCTTGTAAGTGGTCAAGATCCCCACCCCTAAACCATATATATTCTGGTTTGTCATGCTAAGATGGTTTGAATGATATACAGGGTTAGTCCCCAGGGGTCATCCCAACCCCCTGCCATTTGAGAAAGTTCTAATATCTTGTAAATGGTTGAGATCCCCACTCCTAAACCATATATGTTCTGGTTTGTCATGATAAAGCACATCAAATGAAATACAGGGTTAGTACCCAGGGGTCACCCCCACCCCCTGCCATTTAAGAAAGTTCTAATATCTTGTAAGTGGTCAAGATCCCCACCCCTAAACAATATATATTCTGGTTTGTCATGCTAAGATGGTTTGAATGATATACAGGGTTAGTCCCCAGGGGTCATCCCGACCCCCTGCCATTTGAGAAAGTTCTAATATCTTGTAAATGGTTGAGATCCCCACCCCTAAACCATATATATTCCTATTTGTCATGTCTCGAACATTTGAATGACGTATACGGTCAGTCCCCAGGGGTTCCCCCCACCCCCAATGTTCTAATATCTTGTAAATGGCTGAGATCCCCACCCCTAAACCATATATATTCCTGTTCCTCATGTAATGAACATTTGAATGACGTATAGGGCTAGTCCCCAGGGGTTCCTCCCCACCCCCAATGTTCTAGTATCTTGGAGACCTAATATGAAAATGTTATTAAATTAAAACAGATTTTTAATTTATAACAGAGAAACCTGCCTAGACTGAACTCTCTTATGACATACAATGAATATTTTTAGTTATTTAATTTGTTAAACCAAACATCTGTCTAAAATTTTCAAATCAACATTCCCAGATGGTTTGGTTTAAACATGTTTTCACTGTTCTAATTAATGGTGCTGTAATTTGCAGAAATTGTTTGTTATATTGTAAACAAACAAGGAGAGGGGAAAGATACCGAAGTGACATTCAAACTCAGAAGTCAAAAATGATCTTATGGCTAAAAAAGAAAAAGACAAACAGACAAACAACAGTACACAAAACACAACATAAAAAACTTAAGACTGAGCAACATGAAACCTCACCAAAAACACATTTGCATGTTTCAAATTAAGACTCTCTTTCCAGTCAGCTTTTTTTTTCTTAAGAGAATTTTTCATCTACCATCAGAATTATCAAAGATTGCTGAATGGTGGAAGTGTCACCAAATAGGAATACTATGACTTTATATTTGTCTTCCAAAAGTCAGTGCTGGGTACTGTGGATTCTATTGTTTTCGTTTGTCATTTTTCTTGGATATTTGATTTCGTGATTTTGCCAAAATCTGCATACAACCTTGTAAAAAAAGTGTCATTCGTTGAACATTTAAAATTGTGGTTCACCTGTACCCAAGAAATCCACAAATATCGGTATCTAACAAATAATAACGAATACACAGTATGGAAAGTTGTGCATAATTAGAATGTTTCGAAACTCTCTGCAATCAACCTCAATTGAATGAAAACTTTGTAAGAAATGTGAATTACCCTACCAATAAAATAATACTTATTGTTAAAACGGTAAGATTCTTCACAGCTTATCTTTCTTTTTTGCAGAGTCTTAAGAAGAACATGAAGAAATACACAGAACAGTTTGAGTCGGTTGACAGGTTGAGGCAGTCTAATGTGTCTTCAGTAAGTTTTTAAACATATGTTGGAATGTTACTGACAGTAATGAATACATTGGGAAATATATGGATTTTGTGTTAGGTTATATCTAGGGTGTACATTTATCTCTCGTACCAAAAATTTTGTAAATAATGATTTGCTGTTTATAGGATCACTATGATATATTAGAGAGAGAGCAGAGCTCATACATACATCCTCCATTCAAATAGATAATGGCAAAATTTATTGATTTAGAGTAGGAAACCCTAAAAACATTTTTGTTGATCCTGTGAAATTATTTCGTGAAAGCGAGACATAGCAATCATAGATTGTCGGCATCGGAAGCGTCAACATTTAGGGTCAGTCTGTGGTTAAAGTTTTTAAGTCATCAATAACTTTGCCAAACATACATGGAATTTTATGAAATTAAGATAGAAGCTTGTTTATGACCAAAAGACAGTATCCAGGAGAAAAATTTGAAAATATTTATTTTCATTTTTCCGTATTTTATTGATAAATGGACTTTTTTTTTAAACAGTTAACACTCGGGCTCAGTCAGAGGTTAAAGTTTTTCAGTCATCAATAACTTTGCCAAACCTTAATGGAATTTTATGAAATTTTGACAGAAGCTTGTTTATGACCAAAATACAGTATCCAGAGCAAAGTTATCAATTTTCTGCGTTTTACTGATAAATGAACTTAGTTTTTGTCTCGTCTTGACAGAGTCAAAAAGCGAGACATAGGTATGCTGTTTCCGGCGTTGGCGACGGCGGCGTCAACAATGTATTAGTCAGTTTAAGGGGAACTGTTAGTGGTAGGTCAATGATAATTGGTATGCAGTTGTATAAGCATTAGCACATATCATTTCCATGGAGAATATTTGGTCCTAACCCCTCAGTCATGGTGTATTGATTTTGAAACTTTTGCTTAGTTTACATGTATTAATTTGTGATTAGGTCAGTTTAAGATGAACCACTAATGTTAAGTCAATGATATTCGGTATGCCAATGTATGCAAATGTATTGGCATTTGCATTTGCAAGTTTCATTTCCATGGAGATTATATAACCCCACCCCCTAATTATGGTTCATTGACTTTGAAACTTTTACATAGTTTACACGTTAATGTTTGTGTTTAAAGGGAACGACTTACGAAAAGTCAATGGTATTTGGTTTGCAGTTGTATTAGCATTGGTACATCTCATTTCTATGGAGATTGTTCAGCCCTGTACCTTCAGTCATGGTTCATTGACTAAGTCACTTTGAATATTTGCATAACTTACATGTTTAAGTATTGCTATTTTAATTTCAACATTTGCATTATCAAAATAACAAATAGGCGAGGCATATCTCTGTGTATTTTTATAGTTAAACAAGTAGATGTAGTCTGGGGTAAAAGTTTGTTGCACTTCAATTACTTTGTCAAACCTTCATAGAGTTTTATGAAACTTTTGCAGAAGCTTTTTAATGATTAAGAGATAATGTCTGAAGCAAACCTTTGAAAACATAATTTTTTCATTTTTAGTATTTTTCTGATAGATGGACCACGTTTTTAGTTAACATTTACAGACAGTCTGGGATTAAATTTTTTTGACATGATAAATTTGTAAACTTTCATGGATTGTTATGAAACTTGGACCAAGAAATAGCATCTTAAGAAAAAGTTTTTTTTTTTTTTTAAATTCTGTAAATCTGTATTTTACTGATAAATGGACTCACTTTTTAAGTCAACATTACACTTTAACACTGACAGCAGCAATCGCAGACAAGACCCAGGGTTCCATGGAACCCTTTACAAATTTTTTTATCAAAAAGAAGACTCTGGGAAATACTTGTTTTCATCATACACATTAATGCAAAAAAAAAAATTAAAATTATGATATATCTGTAGGATATGAAGCTATGCAACTCCTTTCTTGACTTTTGATATGAGTGAATTTTAGGGTTTAATTGTAAAACATGGACTTCATCATTGCTGCTTATATTAGTGGGAAACTACAGCTGACACACATCTTCATTGGAAGACACAGGCATTTTATTACCATATATACACTTCTTTATTTTATTACCTTATATATATATATATATATATATATATTGTTTGCTTTATATGAATGGATTATGGAAATACCACGATAATTTCTCATGTCCTTCACATTGAATACCTTAATTCATCCGGGATTTTATAATTTATTTTACAGGAGCAGATAGAGAAGAGGAAAACCCTTATGGCTGAGTTCAAGCAGTACCGAGAGGACAAAGAGGAGGAGTTAAGTCGCTATAAAAACAGGAGGATAGCATTACGAGGTGGTATGTATACATGATTAAGGCAGATAAAAATCTTAAGAGGCTATTTGGGGGTGGGTGTCGGCTGGCTAGAGCCCCTTTTTGGAGCTACATATATGGTTAATGCATAGATGATTTACAAGTCGCACTTCTAGTGATGCCTTGGTGGTGCCCCTTTTATCAAAATCTGCATCTTTGTTAGTGATAAATTAATTTTATGAAGGTTTATGGTGATTTACTTCTAGTTCTAGGCTCATATACAGTTACGGCAGTCTGTTTTTTATATCACATGGTTTAATTCTCGATACATTTTTTAAAATGAATGCTTTTTGATAATTTTCATTGAATTTCGAGATGAATACAAATTGAGATGTGTTTCATTTTATTTCACTTTCACTGTTCCAGTGTTTTGGTTCTTGATTTATAACAAAACATATTATTTTGGTTTCCAAATGAAATAAATTTACAAAATCTATAAATGATTATAGTCTCCTTTGTCTGCTTGTTTTTGTTTTTATTAGAAAGGAGTTGAATGAATATTTCAATTTTAATGATCATGAAAGGAACTGAACAGGTCCATAAACTATTATTTAAAACGTTGAAAATAAAAAATGAGTAATTTGTTTTGTTGAATTTAGATAGAAATGAGTTAAGACATTGAGTAAACATAGGTTGGAAAGATTGCACATAATTAAAACAACTATAGTTCGCCCTAATTCAATATATTTGATTTGTGTTGTTGCATGTCTCAGTTGGAAGCATTTTCCTTGTGCATATAAAAGATTTTGATTGGCCGCAAGTGTTTGATTTTATATGAAATGATTTTTCTGCAATGTAAGTTTTTTTCTTTAATAAGTGATACATTTACTTTTATTTATTGAGAATTAACATTTTGTTTTGTTTTTTAGGCATGGATACTGATATCTTGTATGAAGAAGAAATTGACGAAGAAGTTGTTGAATTCCTTTTGAAAGTTGAAGAAGTTGTCCTTGAAGAGTAGACAGCAGGATTTCATCAGTTTTAGGTCGCCTCTTGTTGTTAAATTATTTTAACACCAGCCATTATCATCAGCAGCCATCTTGAAAATAACAAGGGGAGACTACTTATTGAAGATTTTTAATTGAAATAATTAGTGCTGACGTTAGAATATTTAATAATGAAGATTTTGCTATCAAATATGTTGTCATGGTTTCTAAAAGTGCTTTTATTTATTTATCCGTCTATCCCGCTCAGTGTAATGTTTTCTCACTTTTCAGGACAGTTTCCTGTACCTTATCGATTATGTATAGTCCATTTTAGGAATTCTATAAAATTTAGATGCAGCCAATTTTTAAAATGTAGGAAAAGAATTATAAACTTTTTAATCAAAGCTTACAGTAAAAATTTTGGAGCCATTTGTTTGTTTTTGAATTTCTTTGACTGTTGCATTTGTCACAAATTACAGGCTCTGATACATATGAGCTATGCACTTTGCATCATCATCTTCTCTCAAAACATTACAGTTTCATTTAAAAAGATGTTTAATGGTAGCCAATGTAAAGTAAGGAGATGTTGTATGATTGTCAATGAGTCCAAAATAACGATGATTTAAGCAATTCTTGGTAAATGTACAGCCCTCAATAATTAGCAAAAGACATACTGAATAGTCCGCCTTAAAAGGTTCATATTACCAAATGTGAAACAGATCCATAAATTACTGCCATTTATATGATGTGTTTTGTTTAAATATGTTTATGAGGGCTCTACCCTCCCCATAACCTTGGACAATGGTGAAACAGCACAACATAAGAACAAGGCATAAAAATCAGTTGGATATGGCTTGATTTGCCAGATTGGTGCAAAGCATAAAAAGCTAACATATGACAAAAGACAAAAAGTACCGATATAGCAGTACTAAAAGCTACTTCAAAGCAAATAACAACTAATAGATAAAATCATGTTCTCTCAGACTAAAGAATCAATCAGTACACATCAAATGGATTTAGTGTAAAAACATCATAAGCATATCTGTGATATGATATTGAGTTTTACCCTTGTCCGTCCATATGTACATGTACGTACGTTCCAAAGTTGGTTTCTATTCTCTAACTTTAGTTTGCTTCAACCAAATGTTATGAAACTTATGCACAATGCTTATTACCACAAAACACAGATCAAGTTTAAATTTTGGTGGCATCACTTGAACTGTTCTAGAGTTATGCCCCTTTACAAATGGAAAAATAGCTGAATTTTTCGTTTCCGTTCTCTAACTTAAGTTTGCCTCAACCAAACTTATACACAATACTTGTTACCACAAAACGCAGATCAAGTACAAATTTGGGTAGTGTCACTTTTACCGTTCTTCAGTTATGTCCCTTTATAACTTTATATGATATGCAAGCAGGGGCATCATCTTTGTCCCATGGACACATTCCCCATTTATTTTTTATCCCCCTCTCACAACAAGCTCAGGGTGTGCTATAGTGGTGATATCAACACCCTTTTGTTTACATTGTAGTGTTGCGTCTTATGTACATAGGAATTTGAAGTTGTAATGTAAACATCTGTGTGTAGGATTTTGAATGTCCTTTGAGTTCTTCAATAGTTATTTCCATAATCTGTTTTGACTGTTCAGAACGAGTCTTCCATCTGAAACTATTTTATAATGTTTACATTTTCATCCTTTGATCTCTAATAAATAGTTGACACATTGGTAATCATACCACATCTTATTTCTATAACCAATGTAGTTAAAGAGGCACTTGGTTTTAACCTGACATGTAAAAGTTTTTCCCAGTCCATCATAATCATTCCCGTTTTATAATACAAATTTGATATTTATATCCCATTCAGTACACACCTGTCCACAGCTTGTGTTTATTATGTTTAGTGTGCGTGAAATTTTTTACACACTTACTTTCTTGTATCCAAAACTCATTGCATCATTGAAAAAAAAAAATTAATGGAGAATGTGTCCATGGAACTCAGATAATACCCCTGCTTGCATATAGTGTTATAAAAAGGACATAGCTCAAGAACGGTAAAAGTGACGCCACCCAAATTTCAACTTGATCTGAGTTTTGTGGTAATAAGCATTGTGTATAAGTGTCATAACATTTGGTTGAGGCAAAAGAAAGTTGGAGAAAGGAAACCAATTTTGGACGTACAGATGGACATCGGCAACAATAATGCCCCCTCCAGTGATGGCGGGGGCATAAAATGGTATATTTGTTCTGCAATTCCCCTTAAAGAAATAAGGAGATGTATGCTTGCCATTTAGACAGCTTTCCAAATAAGACCAAAGGACAAGGATGTAAACAGCAATTGGACACTATGACTTTCAACAATAATGTAGTTTATACTCAGTTATTTGTACATGAAATGTTGGTACATTGAAACTTTACAAGATTCTTATATGAGCATTATTGTTGTCTTTATTATCTTTATATATGGGTTAATTTTTCTGCTTTATTTGTGTTCTCTGACACTTTAGGTATGACAATTTGATATTCTGGGAGGGCGGGCAGGCGGATTTTTGAAATGAATACCTGGCTTGGTAATTACTGAAAATGGAATCTTTGCCCAGACAACTGTGGTTCAGCAGTTTGTTAAAATTTCTGACCAGTTGAACAGTTGATTTGAAAAAAAAACAAATTGCAATTTGGTCATAATTTTCATTGAGCTGCAATAGGTGGACAGTGACACTTCGAATCAAGTAATTGGAAAATATCATTGCCTTAAAAGCATAAGCTGCTTATCCAATGTTGCACAAACCAGATAAAATTTTCAGCATTGAAATATTCAGTTAATTTTTATACGACCGCAAAAAAATTTTGTGGTCGTATATTGGTATGACGTTGGCGTCGTCGTCGTCCGGCGGCGTCGTCCGAATACACATTGGTTTTCGCACTCTAACTTTAGTTTAAGTGAATGGATCTTTTTGAAATTTGACCATAAGGTTAAATACCACAAAAGGAAGGTTGGGATTGATTTTGGGGGTTATGGTACCAACAGTTAAGCAAAAAGGGGCCAAAAATAAGCATTTTCTAGTTTCCAGACAATAACTGTGGAACGGTGTATGGATCTCTCTGAAATTATACTACAAGTTTCCATACCACAAAGGGATGGTTAGGATTTGCTTTGGGGGGTTATGGCTCAAACCGTTTAGGAATTAGGGGCAAAAAAGGGGGAAAAACAAGGTTGTCCTGGTTAATGGACAAATACTTTAGTACAAAACATAATTTAAAGCAGTGTAAGGGAGATAAATCAAATACATCATTGAAATTATCTCCCTTACACTGCTTTTAAATTATGTATAAAGTAATGGTTAATGAACAATAAAGATAATTTAAAACAGTGTAAGGGAGGTAATCCAAATACAACGTTTTGGTTACTTCCTTTACACTGCTTTTAAATTATGTTTAAAGAAATGCATATTTATAAAGGAAGACCAGTAAAAATATCTGCAAATGTTGCATCTTTTTTTTTACAAAAAAATCCATATGAAAGATTTGACACTATATTTTTAATTCTATTATAAAATAGATTAAGTTAGCACTATGGTAAATTTAAATGGGTAATTATGGTTGCCAACCCCATTGGAAATTTGAATTGAGATTATGACCATATCTTGGGGGAAAGAATTTTTTGGGGGAAAAAAGGGGGGGGGGATAAAAAGAAATTGTGGGGGGTCAATTTTTTCTCATTTCAGATTTCAGAAATTAAAAAGAATTATTCTTCAAATATTATTTTTTTTTCATATTTCAAATATTGAAAAATTTCAAGAAGTAATCTTTAATTGCACAGTATGGCGCATTAGATTTGTAAAATCTTTGATCACATTTATTTATTTGTTATGCCGAATCTAACCGTGTATTTAGATTTTTAATTTTGGGTCCAGTTTTCAAATTGGTCTACATTAAGGTCCAAAAGGTCCAAAATTAAACTTTGTTTGATTTTAGCAAAAATTGAATATATGAGGTTCTTTGATATGCTGAATCTAAACATGTATTTAGATTTTTGATTTTTGGCCCAGTTTTCAAGTTGGTCCAAATTGGGGTCCAAAATTAAACTTTGTTTCATTTCAACAAAAATTGAATATATGGGGTTCTTTGATATGCTGAATCTAACCATGTATTTAGATTTTTTATTTGTGGACCCCGTTATCAAATTGGTTCATATTGAGGTCAAAAGGGTCCAAAATTAAACTTTGTTTGATTTCATCAAAAATTGAATTATTGGGGTTCTTTGATATGCCAAATCTAACCGTGTATTTAGATTTTTAATTTTGGGTCCTGTTTTTTAAATTGGTCTACATTAAGGTCCAAAGGGTCCAAAATTAAACTTAGTTTGATTTTAACAAAAATTGAATTCTTGGGGTTCTTTGATATGCTGAATCTAAACATGTGTTTAGATTTTTAATTATGGGCCCAGTTTTTAAGTTGGTCCAAGATAGGGTCCAGTATTTAAACTTTGTTTGATTTCAACAAAAATTGAATATATGGGGTTCTTTGATATGCTGAATCTAAACATGTATTTAGATTTTTTTTATTATGGGCCCAGTTTTCAAGTTGGTCCAAATTGGGGTCCAAAATTAAACTTTGTTTGATTTCAACAAAAATTGAATATATGAGGTTCTTTGATATGCTGAATCTAACCATGTATTTAGATTTTTTATTTGTGGGCCCCGCTATCAAATTGGTTCATATTGAGGTCAAAAGGGTCCAAAATTAAACTTTGTTTGATTTCATCAAAAATTGAATTATTGGGGTTCTTTGATATGCCAAATCTAACCGTGTTTTTAGATTTTTAATTTGGGTCCTGTTTTTTAAATTGGTCTTCATTGAGGTCCAAAGGGTCCAAAATTAAACTTAGTTTGATTTTAACAAAAATTGAATTCTTGGGGTTCTTTGATATGCTGAATCTAACCATGAATTAAATTTTTTTATTTGTGGGGCCCGCTATCAAATTGGTTCATATTGAGGTCAAAAGGGTCCAAAATTAAACTTTGTTTGATTTCATCAAAAATTGAATTATTGGGGTTCTTTGATATTCCAAATCTAACCGTGTATTTAGATTTTTAATTTTAAGTCCCGTTATTTAAATTGGTCTACATTAAGGTCCAAAGGGTCCAAAATTAAACTTAGTTTGATTATGGCAAAAATTGAATTCTTGGGGTTCTTTGATATGCTGAATCTAAACATGTGTTAAGATTTTTTATTATGGGCCCAGTTTTCAAGTTTGTCCAAGTTGTGGTCCAAAATTAAACTTTGTTTGATTTTAAAAAAATTGAATATATATGGGGTTTTTTGATATGCTGAATCTAACCATGTATTTTGATTTTGGGCATTGGACCATAATAGGTAAATTAAAAAAATTCAAGTTCTTAGACCACATTCTTTCTGTGTCAGAAACCTATGCTGTGTCAAATATTTAATAACAATCCAAATTCAGAGCTGTATCAAGCTTGAATGTTGTGTCCATAATTGCCCCAACTGTTCAGGGTTCGACCTCTGCGGTCGTATCAAGCTGCGCCCCAGCGAAGCATTTTATTCAATGATATGTTTGCAATTGCATGAAAAGACGTATTTTTGTGTTAGCTAGAACCATTCAGCATTGAACAAAATACATGTCAATGTAATGTATTAATTTAATAAGTCGATCACACTGACCTTTGAGGTCTGTCATTTCATCGTTTTTGAATGGTGCACTGAACAGTGGTTATACAAAATAAACATAGTTTTACATAGTATACTGACCATCTGGAAAAAACCGAAAATTTTATCTTTTGCATGTATAATTACTTGCAGATCTGTTCCGCAGATGACAACTGAAATCCTTTACTTGTAGCCACAATCATGTCGTCTTTACCTCGGACGTGACATCAGATTTGTATTTGCTGTGAGCAACATGAGTGACGGGGTCCCACTAGTCGAACAGGAAATGCTTATCCTGTCACTTTATTATTATTCAACGTCTGGATCTACCTACAGCAGTCTTGTCTATGATTGTCCTCATTGAAAACCGTGTTTTTATTTTAAACTTTCTGATGGTGAAGTGTAAGGATTAGATAATTTACATGTAACTTGATGATGTCTTGGTGTATAACTAATTTACCAAATCTGCTATTGCATGACACATCAACGTATTTTATCAATGTGTGTGAAGTTTGTGCATGAACTGCTTACCCCTTCCGGAGCAGCTGAACTCATCCCCGGTTTTTTAGTGGGGTTCGTGCTGCACAATATTTAGTTTAATTGATAGACTTTGGGGACTGTCTTTTCTCGTTTTTCTTTTGTTTGGATGACGTCTGACCTTATTCGACTTTAGGTTTAAATGGCCTCTTCGTATCTTCTTCCTTTTTACTGTCCTTATATATTAGGTTTTGCAGACTCAGTTGGTCAAAAATTAGATAAATTTTCACAAGTTTATCAAATGGAAGAGATGAATTCAAACTGCATGCAAACTCAGACAAAGATTTGCATTATAACCATAGTAGAACAGTATGAATTTTCAGATTAGACTAACGGGCCGAAAAATTTGTAAGAATTGAAGAAAGGCTTGTCTCGCTACACGTTAACTCTGATCATTTGAGCCATTTTAATATATCTGTGCCAACATTCCAAAAATAACTAAACACTCAGAATATGGGATGACCAAGTTCAATTTACGATGATACGTGTAGTTCTGACATTCAAATGGTTTGTCGGAGTTTTGAGATGAGCCCATCATTGTAAGCATAATTTTACGGGTTTGTTTTCTTTCTTATACCTATGACGTACCAAGGGGCATTAGCTGACCAATTTATGTTCACTGATTTGACTCAAATTCTTATATTTGACATAACATACTAAATCGTATATCCAAATAAAATAAATAATTAACAATACATGAACTAGCTCGTCATATTGTATCACTGGAAACGTTTGCTTCTGCCTGCTGCTCAGCCTGGAAATAGATTATGATTCGGTTCTTTCCGTGCAATACATTATTTGGAGCGAACAATTCCCAAAAAAGAAATTTTGATACTTTTACTTACCTTGGTCGCTTTTACTCCGCTTAAAAACTGCCACCCCGTGTCATACATAACCAACATAAATAAGATGTGGTATGAGTGCCGATGAGACAACTCTCCATCCAAGTCACAACGTATAAAAAGTAAACAGTTATAGGTCAAAGTACGGCCTTCAACACGGAGCCTTGGCTCACACCGAACAGCAAGCTATAAAGGGCCCCAAAATGACTAGTGTAAAAAAATTCAAACAGGAAAACCAACGGTTCAAATAAAAGGACGCATGATTACGGATTCAAATGAGGGTGAATTATTTACTTGCAAGCCAAGTTAACATCAGCGATTTGTTAGCTTATTTTGACAAAATTGAACCAAACTGTCTGATAATAGCGACATTTTATTCTAATATTCCGCTTTAATTAATGTTTGGGGGAAAAAAGAAGTCAAAACGCCCCTATAAATAAACATTAACGGCGTGGTACATCTGAAACACTGAAATTGCAAACATCGCTGTCTATATTGTGTTCTGTATGAGATATTTTAAGTATATATATATATTACTTGCTTTTATACAAATTTGGTCTCTGAATCCGAAATAGAAAAAAATATAAATTCTGGCGTAATATTAGAAGCAAATTCACAAATAAGACTGCGGTGAAATAGATTTTTATCTCAGATTTCGACCTGTATAGAAATTGATTCTCAGGTGTGACAGTTCATGATATCAACATATATTCAGCTCATCAAAGCGTCATTAAGAAAAAGACAACATATAAACTGGATGACATCTACAATAATCGATATCAGGAGTCTTAGATTTTCCTTCAATTATTGGGTGTGGTTCTACGTCAGTTATAATGGATGATATAGCATCACTGGTTATAGACAATGGGTCGGGTATGTGTAAGGCGGGCTATGGAGGAGATGATGCCCCATCCACCGTTTTTCCATCGATTGTTGGAAGGCCGAAACATCAGGTTTGTCATTTTATTAAAGATTAAACTCTCTAAATTCAATAATTCTGAGATCTGTAAAATAAATGTCTTTATGAGATATAAAATTTGTCCTAAAAAAAACAACAATCGAATGAAGACTAGTATATTATAATTAGAGCAAAAGTTCAAAATATTTTCAAGTTTTAAAAAATTCTGACTGCTGATCATTTCAAACTTGTTTTCATTGATAAAGATAGTCCGCGGAAGCTTTTACAGTTCCACAGGCAAAACGTATGTCAAATGGAATGCATTATGGTTATGAAGAAAGATTTTTTATAATAAGATTTTTTATTATTATCAGCCTTTTCTTCACGCATCATTGTACCTTACTTTATTGCTTGATATTATTAACATCTTTATAGTACACCACTATAAAAGTTTAACTGCCTTCATGGTGCATAGTTTGCTTTAAAAAATGACTTTTTATTACAGAAATCGTCCCATTCCTATATTTAGTATATACTTAAATTTGCGTTATTTTCTAGGGAATAATGATTGGAGCGAACATTCGGGATTATTATGTCGGCGACGAGGCTCAGACCTACCGTGGTGTCCTTTCTTTAACATATCCAATAGAACATGGAATAGTGACGAACTGGGATGACATGGAAAAAGTATGGAACCATACATTTTATCACGAGCTCCGTGTTTACCCGGATGAACACCCCGTTTTGATGACCGAAGCACCTCTCAATCCGAAAGTAAACCGAGAAAAAATGATGGAAATTTTATTTGAAACCTTTAGTGTGCCGGCAAGCTATGTTGCTATCCAAGCTGTGTTGTCATTGTATTCCTCAGGACGCACAACGGGGATAGTACTGGACTCTGGGGATGGAGTAACGCACGCTGTACCGATATATGAAGGATACGCCTTACCTCACGCAACGCTCAGACTTGATTTAGCAGGTAGAGATGTTACCGATTACCTCCTGAAAATTTTAACGGAAAGGGGTTATTCGTTTACAACATCGGCCGAACGAGAAATTGTCAGGGACATCAAGGAAAAATTATGCTTTGTTACAGAAGATTATGATGCGGATATGCTTCGATCCGTTACAACCACGGATTTAGAAACGCATTACGAACTACCAGACGGAGAGATCATATCTGTTGGCAACGAAAGATTCCGCGCAACCGAGTGCCTTTTCCAACCATCCTTTATAGGAATGGAAGCATTTGGAATTCACGAATCTGTATATAATTCAATTGTTAAGTGTGACGTTGATGTTCGGAAAGATCTTTTCACCAATATAGTTTTATCTGGGGGGACGACTCTCTATGATGGGATGTCAGGAAGACTTAAGTCTGATATTGGACATTTAGCTCCGCAAAACATGGCTGTAAATGTAATTGCTCCATCAGAGAGAAAGTATTCGGTATGGATTGGTGGATCTATTTTAGCATCTTTGTCCACATTTCAGGACATGTGGATTGGTAAAAGGGAATATGTGGAATGCGGTAAAAGTATTGTTCATAGAAAATGCTTCTAAAGCAGTGATTTTTTATTTTTGTAAAAAACAGAAGATAACAGCTAATAAGATTGTTCAAATAAATCTGTACTAAATTTTGTTTTGGTGTTCTCTTAAATTATATATTATATTATATTATATTATATCAAATTTCCTTAACTAATGACAATTACGTAATTATCTTACATATTGGTATGGTCTCCGCAAGGCGCTGTCTAACAGAAGTTCATAAGAAAACGTTCTGGTAAATAGCAATAATGAAAACTCTTATAAGTTTTCGTGATTATATTATATCCATTTCTCAAATCGATATTATAAGCAATAAATAGGTCAACTATATTTGGTGTCTAGATGTAAGCCGCCGATTGACCTTAGTTTCATGTTTCATTGGTCAACGTTAGTTTTTGTGATAAGAATAAAAGTACAGAAATGTGGTATGATTGCTTGTATGTAAATCAACTATCCGCCAGTGAGTCCCTGGACGAGTTTGTATATATAGACAACTACTAGTATAAGGTTCTAGGTGACAATTTTCATATACTGTAACTTCTGTAAGCCATACGTCACTACATCTAACGTGTAGAATGATTGCAAGGTGTATATTTCCGCTGTCAGGGTTTGCCTGACCGTGACCTCATTTTCATGGGTCAGTGATAATCAGTGATACATTTAGTAACCCTTGCTCAGTCTTAAAAAACATGATTAGAATAGTTTCCCTTTTCTGTTCTTGAAATTCGTACACCACTTATGTAGCACATTTTCTTGTTTACTATATAGACAGAGCATAATTAGTTGAAGTCATACAGATATTCTTCAATATATACTCGTTAACAAGCAATGTCAAAGTTCCAGTCCGTTTCTCCGGTAAGCCCACTTTGCAGAACACGCTACCTTTTGTATTTATTGTTAAAAAAGAGAGACGAAAGATACCAGAGGGACAGTCAAACTCATAGATCTAAAACAAACTGACAACGCCATGGCCAAAAATAAAAAGACAAACAGACAAATAATAGTACAGATGACACAGCATAGAAAACTAAAGACTAAGCAACACGAACCCCACCAAAAACTGGGGGTGATCTCAGGTGTTCCGGAAGGGTAAGCAGATCCTGCTCCACATGTGGCACCCGTCGTGTTGCTTATGTTATTACAAATCCGGTAAATAGTATAATTCGGTAAGTGACATTCGTGAAAAGGGAAGGATATTGTAGTTACGACATAAGGAACATATTCGATATCATCTGTGAAACGGTTATTCCATAACGGTCAACCAACTCGTGATGGCGTCCGCAAAATTTACGAAGGGATGATTTCAACTTCGCCATTTGGAACTCTTGGTTTAATAGCTTCCTTGTGAGCAGCAATCCTCTATCAAGGAAATCATGATAGGAAACACAAGCCCGGGAATATCGTATCAATTGGGAGACATATACTCCGTATGCAGGCGCTGCTGGAATGTTGCTACATAGAAATGGAAAGTTCACAATTGGGAAGTTGAAATCATCTCTTTTGTCGTAAAGTTTTGTTTTCAACCGACCCTCATTGTCAATTTTTAGATGTAAGTCAAGATATGAGGCAGACTTAACTGTATCTGTAGTATCCTTTATCTCTAGTTCGATGGGATAGATTCGTTCAACATAGTCACCAAATTTTGTATTATTTAGTGAGAGAACATCATCTTTATAGCGGAACGTAGAGTTGAAGGATATTGCTAACTTCTTATCTTTCTTCCTAAGAAGTTCCTGTATGAAGTTAGCCTCATAATAATAAAGAAACAAGTCGGCAAGAAGAGGGGCACAATTGGTTCCCATTGGAATTCCGACAGTCTGTTGAAAAACACGTCCTCCAAACGTAACAAATATGTTGTCAATCAAGAAATCAAGCATCTTGATAATGTCAGTTTCAGAGAATTTTTTGTTTGAATCAGAGTGACTCATTACAAAGTAGGATTTATCCTTCCCCAAGACAAGATACTTGTATCTACGTTCGCCATTCTTTTTAATGAAACAAAGTAATACCAACTCTTTCAATTTGTCTTTTAGTTTGGAATGGGGAATACTTGTGTAAAGTGTAGAAAAGTCAAATGTTTTAAAACTATTGCAAGATGAGAGAGTCTTAGATTGTGTGTACTCTAAAAGATCTTTGTTAATGTGTTCTCGTCCTGAAATAATTACCACGAGACATTAATCAAGCGAAAGTCAACAAATCAATCAACCAATCATTTTTGTAGTCCTACTGTTCAACAAGTATTGAAAACATTTTATAGTCATGAGTTTGCATGCTGATATTTATTTTAGTTCAGTTGAAGCTAGATTGCTTTTGGTTTGATAAAAACAAACAATAAACAATATGAAATTGACATACGACATATAAAATTGAAAAAAGAGAAACTAATAAGGGGGCAATAATAAACCATAAATCGAAGGAAAAAACAGACAGCACCATTGCAAAAAGACAAACGGCGGGAAAAGACCAACAATTATAGTCCATACACAATAGTACACAGTAAACTAAACGTTTGCTGAGCAACACGAATCCCACCAAATACCGTTGGCGAACTCATTTGATGACAAGTAATTGTATAATATCGCTGGTTTAATCCGAAGACTTCACTATATATAAGTTCATACATGTAATTTGACCATCGATACAGACATTGTATGGGTCATTTTCAAAAAAATGTCGAATTTTGAAATTGCAAAATTGATTTAAAGTTACTTATATATATATTCAAACATCCCTCGTCATTAGAAATCAAAACAAACAGTACTTATAGAACAACATATTAAAAGATGCAAACTTGATAATGTCATACAAGAATATATTGAAACATTTTTTGATAGGTGGTGCAATATTTTGTCTCTCCTGTTACCATGTTCAAAAGAAATTTCGGGTTATTTAGAAAAGGTTTCGATAAAATTTAAAGCTTGTTTTTCGTAGCCAATAAGATGGTTTTCAAGAGTAAAAACTTCTAAATATATTCATTCTGTGAAATAATAGATTATTTGCCAATTTTCCATGTGGTACTGAAAAATGCCTCTAAAAATTGGTTTTCAAAGGTTACAAAAATAGCCACCAGTAATGCAAGTCTAAGATAGCAATTCATAATGTTCAGCATTTGTTCTCGCTTTCAAATAAACCCAACATCAAGTTAATCCCTCGCACGTTGGGTTACTTGTGTCTTTATTTTACTGGTAACAGGAACGTACGTTATGATATATCACTATATTAAGTTCTATCCTGTTACCTTTTTGTCTATCCTGTTACCGATAGCTCAGTATTGCACCTGCAAATGCTAAATTACGAAGATTAAAACGTTATAACCTTTAGATGAGTTCAAACAACGAAACATTTCATTATGTGTGCAACTATATGTTATTATAAACTTTTTAAAGACGTTTCTGTTTACTATTGTCTATCCTTTTACTGTAACCATAGCAACCATAGTAACAGGATAGACATAACAGGATAGACAAATTTCTTCATTTTTGAATGCTGTTGTGAAATAACTACTCCCTTTGATGAAGTGATAATATTTTTATGTTGTGATTTTGGTTTCCAACACGTTATTGCACTTTTTGCAAGTATAATATTGGTGTAATTAATCAATATGTTGGTAACAGCATAGACATGCCAAAAAAGTACCCACTATTTTTTTTCACTAAATGTCTTGAAATTTCTTTTTTCAGTCTACACTGTTATACAAGAAACGTGCTGTGTTTAATGTTTAGGTTACTTTGCGCTTTTGAAATCAACACTGACTAGTTCAATATTCATAGAGAGAAAAAATTAACGACTGATTTAAGTAGCGGTAACAGGATGGACATGAACTTCATGTACGCTGATTGAATATAGTTTGTAGAAAAAATCTTACATATAATTATAAAGAAGCTACGATTTTGCGTTAGAGTTATTATTTACGTTCTAAAAAAGTCCCTTTTGCAGATATCAAGGCGATCAGAAAATAGGAAAAAATCATTTGAAATGTGTTACTCGGACACTGTACGCACATAAATTACGCAAAAATCGGACTTAAATATATTTTTATCTTATCAAAATAGATCTAAATCGTGTTTATTATTAATGTTCTGACTAATAAATCCTACAAACTTTCATTTAAACACTACAACTAAATTTTCCATTAGAAATAAAATTTTTAGCATGGGTGTACTGAAAATTCGACATTTTCTGAAAATGACCCTATGCCCTATCATGACTCTGAATAAAACCCTAATCCGAATGTTTCAAGTTTCAAATTACAATTATATTTATCATCATAATTGCTTAACAATACTTGTTTCAAGTCTATAAAGGAATAAGTATGTTTGCAGAAATATATAAATTCAATTTCCTTTTTCTCTTTATTCCATTATGGATAGATTACAAAAGATGGTTTTTTAATATTTGCAAAAGTGAAACTTTTCCATATAGAGCCCCAATTTCCTGGAAAGATTTTTATTTTGTCCAATGAAATTGCAGAATCGTAGTTGCGACCATATTAGGTAACATTACAGAGCGCCACCTGTTTTAAATTCATCAAAAAGTTGCCACGCGGGAAGGAACAAATCATACATCATGGACGACGACGTTGCAGCAATCGTAATTGACAATGGATCTGGGATGTGCAAAGCTGGATTTGCCGGAGATGATGCCCCAAGAGCAGTTTTTCCATCAATTGTTGGACGTCCTCGTCATCAGGTTTGCATTTGAGACCTTACAAGTATTTTCAAAACTCAGAAACTGAACAATCATAAAAAGTAAATTGCTTACTAAAATTAAAAAAAAAACACGAGTAAGTTGACTTGATGTCATCAAAAGTAAAAAAGAAACACCAGTTTATCTCATAAAAGAACATATTTTGATTGTCATTTGTAAAAACAGTGAATTATCCCCTTTCCATTGCCGTATTTGACCTAGAGTTATCCCCCTTTGTCGCCATGCTGAAGGGCAACGTGCTCAAATTCCTTCATAACTCAACAAGATACGCTTTACTTGAGAATAGAGAGATTTTCCTTAAAAATGTTCATGTCTTTTAGCCTTGTATAATACGTTACTGCGATCTGTGATTACCAAAGACCTTTTTTCAGACTTGCACCCTTGATTTTCTAGGGGGGAGGGTTGTTGTTAAAAAATTGAATATTCTGGCCTGAATATAGTCCAAATAATTATGACGTCTTGGAAGGCTATTTTAAATTTTTGCTTTGACGCCGTAAGGCGTCAAAGAAAAAAACATAATAGCCTTTAAGGCGTCAAAGAAAAATAATATAATAGCCTTTCAAGACGTCATAATTATTTGGACTAGCCTGAATAGAGCTAAAACAATGATTAATCTTGCCTAAGATAGAATAATAATGTATTTTAATTTTGCAGTGACCTTCGTGGGAATTTTGACTACTTAAGCAAGTTTATCAGATTTCGATTTCAGTCTATAGTCTTGAAAGGCTATTTTAATTGTTTGCTGTGACGCCTTACTCAATACTACGTCTTTGGACTAATTTCAGTCATACTGTTCAAAAGCTAAGTTCTAACCTCTCGCATACAGAAAACATGAACTCTATTGAGCTTTCAAATCATCATATTACAAACAAAACATTAAAACATGCAAGTTTAAAAAAGCAAGCATATTAGTCACACAAGAACTACAAAATCAAAGCAAAACCATGTTTTTCCAAGCAAAATCTTGAATCAGCCGAGATATGCAGGACGCACTGATTCCAAATTTCTGCCTCTCATCCCCAAACTTTCAGTCTGCCCATATACAATTTGCTCTACTATCCGTATTCAGTGTGAACCCCTGCTCATTGCCATCAAGATGTAATCCAACTCTGACCTCAGTGACTTGTTTTCAGTTTTGATATTTTCTGATGTCAGAAAATAGGGTAACGACGCCAGGGCAGGAATGGACTACATCAATTTGATTAAGCGTCATTTTCATGCAGAGTTTGATTGAGGTAACACATGTGATCTTAATGAACATGCTTCGATTGTAAACTAAAAGATATACATGTCATAAATACATTAAGATTGAGTGCTAATCTAGTCCAAATAATTATGACGTTTTGTACGGCTTTTTGATAAAAAAAAAATTTGGACGCCTTCCGTCGTAGGAAGGCGTAACAGCAAAAATAAAAATAGCCTTTCTAGACGTCATAATTATTTGGACTTCTAATCAGAAAATTTCTGAAAGCAACAACCCAAAAAGACCAAACGCAGAAAAAAACATGATAAATAGTTGATTTATCATTGTATGCAGCTTTGTCCAGCTAAATTAAATACGTGCCAGTCATCTGTAAAATAAACTTTAATAGAACGATATTGATTTATTCACGCACCGCCTCGTCACATCAATTATTCAATTACAGACTAGGACTAATTTCCCCTGAATTTGTTTCATGGTTGATTGATTAATTGTTGGTTGCTTAACGTCCAGTGGCAAATATTTCATGCAGGTTCAGGACGATTTTTTTTTCATTCATGTGGTTAAAATGCGAAAGCTGATTTAAACCTACCTTTTAGTGAAATATGAATAATAATGAGTCTGAACAACTTTTCGGATTTTAAAACAATTTTCGATGCATCCATAAAATCTAAATGATCCATAAGATATTTTTGCATCCAAGAACATGCTTAACCAAAATGAATTATTATATATATTGTAGACAATGCATATTTTGCTTCCGATTGAATTTAGATTTTGGTAATTAAAGAATGTCTTCGTTCACACGACACAGTTAGAACTAGAGTGGTGTCCAAAATAAACCCGCCGTTAAACATTGAAAACTTTATCTTTGCAGTGTTTGTCTCGTTTTCAAAAGGACGCTTAGTATTAATAAATAGTTGTAAATTCACAAGAAAGCGTTCTGGTAAATAATGATATAAACAAAAATAGATTGAAAAAAAAACATTACCATGCACTGTTATCATTTCCTAAATACATGTATAGCAAACGACGAGTAAATCGTACTATGGAAGTTTTGTTTAAAATTGGTTAAAAATGTTGCTATGCGATTAAATTCTTCGGGTAACAACCTCAATGCAGTCTTCACGATAAACTTTGGAATCCACAGTCCCGAAGCTCAATTTTGCGAAAATTTAAGTTAAGATTCTGTTGGTCTGTAGAGAAAATTTTTGACCGGCACGTTATCAATTTTACAAGCCAGTGCTAGTGGGCCTGTGGTTGAGGGTGAAGATATATTTTCTAATGGTTGTGTATATCATTGTAACATGCCATTTATCCGTATATGTATGCAGCTAGATTGATAAGTTCAGAGAAAATGACAATATGTAACAGATTTTTAAATTTCACTCATTATTTTCAGTGTAGCAATTAGCTCTATAAATAACCAAAATAAGGACATTATGTATTTGTATGTATATTTCAATTATCATAATTAAACTGTTAACTCAAGTTCTTAAAAAATGTACGATTATCATAAGGTTTAGAAACAACCTTTAATCAATATGGTTATCAGCGTAAATAATATATTGTCGCCTTTTTCATAAGAAGAGTCACTTTTCTATTGTTCTCGCGTCATCGGTTTTCCAATATACTCGAAATTTGCGAAACTCGTTCAAAATTGCAGTTTTGAGACATCTTTAGGCCTTCATAATTGGGCTCTATATTCAGAAAAACGTCATCATGTTGCAACTAGAAAGAGTACATATGAAGTGTTGAAACTGTAAGTTTAAGTAAAGATTTAAGAATATTTCGCAAATGGGTGATGTGTGAAATAATTTCAGGGGAAATTGACCCTACCTTTTCAACTAAAGAAATGCATTTCATATTTACTTCGTTATAATATGAAACCTTGTTTCCTTTATGATATTTATTAGAGCTATTTTCTTAATGCTTGTAGTTTAAAGGTTTGGTGCCTTGCTTGCTTTACTTGTAAATGTTTGCTCAAGAATTGTAATTATGATTGACATCTGCAATCAATAGAGGCGGGGCTTCAGCTTGTATACGTTATACTTATATGTTATTGGATGTTAAGTGTAATCTACGGAAGCCATTTATAGGGCCATGCTAATTTACCTTATCCAATTTGATATAACAAATTATTAATTTGATATAACAGATTATCAATTTGATATAACAGATTATCAATTTGATATAAAAATTATTAATTTGATATAACAGATTATCAATTTGATATAACAGATTATCAATTTGATATAACAAATTGTAAATTTCTCTACCAATAGTATGATTTAATTATAATAATGATTGATTGATTGAAAAATTGTGTAACCCAAATTGGTGCATTTTTTGTATTGATTGATTGTTTATCTGACGTCCAGTGACAAATATCTCATTGGATGCATATTCAAAACTCTGTTAACAGGTTTAATGTTTCTGAACCCCCCCTTTTTATCCGTTATTTGAGGCAGTTTTGGGGACTAGTTTCTCTATTTAGTACATGGGGCCTGGTGTCTTAGAACGAACGAATATAATAGTAAAAAAGAGGATCAATTTATATTGCACATTTTCTAGTCAGAACGAAATGAATAGTTATATTGAGATATTGGTGTTTCTAGGAACATAGGAACATGCAATGAAAAAAAAATGCTTCCCCTTCTTAAAATAGCCTGGCATGTTTCTTTATCAATTTATTTAAAATAGGAACATGCAAAGATTGATTAAACATCCTAAAATTCTTCCTTGCATTTTTCTTTATAGATTTGTTTCAATATCTATTTTTGATTTGGAAACATTTTATTCAATATAAAGACCCACGCGCGAGATCTAGAAGGATTGTGTCGTCCCGTGATGCTCGGATATATACGTCTTCAGTTTTAATTTCTGTTGAACAAATCACACGTGTATAATCTGAGCAGCTTAATAACTGTGTATTTATAGGTTAGGATCGCAGATCATGAGCAATGATAAAAAATTTAGGTCTCTATCTCTTAATAGTTTTAGCGTTTCACTTGTATATCCTTTCTGTCAAAAAGAGAAGGGGGAAACCACAATCAATGCATAAGTAATTTGATATATCTAATTTACATTGTGTTATATCCAATTAATAAACTGTTATTTCAAATTATCATAATTTGTTATATGAAATTGATAATCTGTTATATGAAATTGATAATATGTTATATCAAATTGATAATCTGTTATATCAAATTGATAATCTCATTCTGTTGTATCAACTTGAAATTAATAAATTGTTATATCAAATTGGAAAAAAGTAAATTAGCATGGCCCTAAAAGGTTTCCGTAGTACTCATTAATGCAGAGTATAATGTATGCAAGCTGAAGCCCCGCCTATCTATTGATTATAGTTGTCAATCTTAATTACAATGCTTGAGCAAACATTTATACAAACAACGCAAGCAAACCAACTAAACCTTTAAACTACAAGCATTAGGAAAATAGCTCTAATATCATCATCGAATATTATTCATTGAATCAATGTTGACCCTTATACCAATGCAAGCGAAAGATTTTAAGACACGAATAGACGTATTTACACTTGTATGCAAATTTGTCCGCCATTACGTAAAATCACACAGGTTCCCGTAAACTTTGACATCATAATTCAAAACATTTGACGTCACAATTAAAAAGTGATTGTTGCCTGACGTCAAAAGGTGATTCGGAGTAGATCTAAGGTCATTCGGAGGCAAAATATAGCTAAATACCAAAAGTGTAAATACGTTTATAAGAACACACAAAAATAGTTTAATAATAACATAACACTATTTTTTTCAAAAAATAATTGGACTAAATCTATACAAGAGTGAACTCGCCGAAATGTCTCGCCTGCTTTACTTGATATGACAGAATTCACATTGAGAATTTCATATCAAGATCTTACTACCAGTATGAAAAAACCTTAACCTAATTTCATCACAAAAAACTTAACTTAGCTGATCAATGAACCATGATAACCCATTCACGGCCAGGAATTTTGCCAAACGGATGACACGAGAACATTAACTTTGTAATGCGCTTCTTCTGAACAATAAATGCAAATTGAAAAAAAATCGCATTTCCACTTTCTCAATTAATAAGATTTTACAGTGACTGACTGTAGGGAACTTCTTTTGTGACAAATTATATCAAAATTACAGAAAACTTCATCAGCTCTATTGCCTCTAACTCAAAATATGGATAATTTTACGTGGAGGGGGTCTTGTCGTTTGACAGCTTCAGACATACTCATTTTTGACCTTTTCCAACTGGACCAAACCTCTACTTTACCTTAATAATCGAGACCCAATTTTATTTACGGTGTAATTTCATCCCCCTACCTGGGACATAATGTGTTAGTATAATAGTCCCAGTCCCTACTTACTATTTGATACATAAAACATAAAGAAATACATTTGAAAGGTTTTTGTAAAATTTGCAAGTAAAACACTGTCACACTAGGGATACAATTTGTAAGACAACAAAAGTCAAATGACATTAACTGTGTTCCGGACCAGGTACAACTTTAATATGACCATTCTATACACCAAATATAAATAAGAAGATGTGGTATGAGTGCCAGACATAGTTCATTTATGACCTCGAAGATAAGGTCAAGGTCAGATAAACTGTGAAACTTTATCAAACAAATCTCAATCTGTAAACATATTCTGCATAATCACTCTTAAGCAGTCTTGGTTTTCTCGTTTCAATTGTTTTACAGTTATAGCTTGCTATGCGGTATGGGTTTTGTTCGTTGTTGAAGGTCGTGCAGTGACATTATAGTCATCTACGTCATTTGGTCTCTGATAGATAGTTGTCTCATTGGTAACTATACCACAATCTCATAATTTAGAACAGGCACATACATATCATTGAAGTGGCGGGGCTATTAACCTTGATTTTTGAGATCTCAACCCTCCCAGACCTCTTTTTAATCTAGATCAGTAGATGAACAAAACGAACATGAAAGAACATAAAATACAGGAAAAGCACTTAAATCTAGAATAATGGAATAATTGGTAACACAGTAAATAGAAAAATTAAACAAAAGTTATCTGCAACAACTCATATAAATATAAATATAAATAAGAAGATGTGGTATGAGTGCCAACGATACAACTATCCATCAAAGTCTTGGCTCACACCGAACAGCAAGCTATACAGGGCATCAAAAAGCCTTCTTTTGTAATGACAAAGGATAATATGCTAGATAGACTTTTAAGTTAGATATTAGTACTGGAAGTGTGATGAGATGATTAAAGCTGTAAATGTTCTCCTTGACAACATTTATGTACGTTACGGCAATAAAGTTAATAGATAGGCTGTAGGTATTCATATGGACACCAACTAAGCCCCTTTAATGATAGACTTGTTCCTGTATTGTTATGAATCACAGTTTACGGTAAAACTTAGTGAAGAACCGTTTAAATTTCATTTGATCGATAAACTCAACAACACTTACCGTAAGACTACCGAAATTTACACAAAGGATTTTATTTTATATATTAAATCAACAAAAACAACAATAATCGTCCTTTCCAGATTAAGATATTAACACGGGAAAATAAACAAAAATTAACGCAAAAAGACGATTTGTCGTTCCCTATTGTTAATTTTCTTTTTTGGACGTCACGGTAATGTTCCTGTAGTGCCATCCACATCAAGGCACAACCTAATTTTACGGTGATGTCGTTTATCGAGTCCGTAAACTTAGATACGATCCAGATAAACGTATCCATCCCTTAAATAAACTTTTTAAAAAGCTACCAATTTAACACTGTAAAGTAGGTCTTTGAATATTGATTTTGCTATCAATAGATTAAAACCAAACTTAATATTATTGCTATACACATATGATATGAACATTCACGGTCCCACATTTTGCCGATACCTATGATTTTTTGGCATGGCACACACGATTATGTTTTCTCAAACTGAATGACGCCTTTACAATAAATCCATTGGATGTTGGATGTGAACTATTTAATATTTTAGTCTTAAATACATGATTGATTTTCAATGGTTGTTGTTGCTGCAAGTACTCTTAGATCTGTACTTTGCGTCTTCTTATTAGTTGTTTTGTGCTATGTATCGTTCTGATGATATACGCCATTTCCAACTGATTTTGATAGTTTATGTTGTGCTGTTACACCACTGTCACAGGTTAGGGAGAGGATTGGGAGCCCGAAAAAAATTAATCCCCGCCACATTCTGTATGTGTCCGACACAAGTCAGGAGCCTATAATTCAGTTTGTTGCCGTAACCTATTTGTTTTTCATTAATTGTTGATCCATTGTTTTGAACAAAAATCAAACCGTAGGTTTTCTCGTTTAAATTGTTTTTTATTTGTCATTTTGGGGCTTTTTATAGCTTGTTTTTCAATAAGGGTCTTGCCCATTGGTGAAGGCAGTACGGTGACATATAGTTGCTTATTTTTACGTCATTTGGTTTCTGGTGGAGAGTTGTCTCTAACATTGACAATCATATCTAATCTTATTTTTTATATAGGTAGTATTTAACATTTTTGTAATCCGTTTCTTCATATTTTTTCAGGGAGTTATGGTCGGAATGGGCCAGAAAGATTGTTATGTTGGAGATGAAGCACAAAGTAAAAGAGGCATCCTCACTTTGAAATATCCAATTGAACATGGTATCGTCACAAATTGGGATGATATGGAGAAGATCTGGCACCACACATACTACAATGAACTGAGAGTAGCACCAGAGGAACACCCATCATTGCTCACAGAAGCTCCGCTCAATCCAAAAGCCAACAGAGAAAAGATGACGCAAATCATGTTTGAAACTTTTAACTCGCCTGCCACATATGTAGCCATCCAAGCCGTTCTGTCTTTATACGCGTCTGGAAGAACCACAGGGATAGTGTTAGACTCTGGCGATGGTGTCACACATACGGTTCCAATCTATGAAGGTTATGCACTTCCTCATGCTATCCTCCGTTTAGATTTAGCTGGACGAGATTTAACCGATTATCTCATGAAGATCTTAACAGAGAGGGGGTATTCATTCACAACTACCGCTGAAAGAGAAATTGTAAGAGATATAAAGGAAAGGCTTTGTTATGTGGCTTTAGATTTCGAACAAGAAATGTCCACCGCGGCGTCGTCATCGTCACTAGAAAAGAGTTATGAACTACCAGATGGACAAGTTATTACAATTGGAAATGAAAGATTCAGATGTCCGGAGTCTGTACTTCAGCCATCCTTTTTGGGAATGGAATCGGTCGGAATTCATGAAACTACGTACAACTCTATAATGAAATGTGACGTGGATATCCGAAAGGATCTGTATGCAAACACCGTTTTGTCAGGAGGGTCCACAATGTATCCAGGCATTGCCGACAGAATGCAGAAAGAAATCACTTCTTTGGCACCAAGCACCATGAAAATTAAAATCATTGCACCTCCGGAGAGAAAGTATTCCGTATGGATAGGAGGATCGATCTTAGCATCACTCTCGACCTTCCAGCAGATGTGGATCAGCAAAGAAGAGTACGACGAAGCAGGACCAAGTGTCGTTCATCGAAAATGTTTCTAAACTGTAATATTATCTTAAGATATGCCAGTGTTATGCATATATGACCGATATTAAATAACAGTAGATATTGATAATGATTATGAAATGTTATACAAATTATTAAACTGTAAACATTTAGAATGAATTATGTTACAAATTGTATTGATGTGTGACATTGTTTTAATTTTTTGTGTTCCAAATGTTCTTTTGAAATATTAGAAATTCACTTGACGGTGGTTTACAGTTATTATACAGAAATATTTAAGGCTTACTAAAAAAAATGGGTAATAAAATCGTCACGATAAGCAAACGATGAAGAAAACATTTTGGAGAGGGGACGTCGATAGGCCATTATCCTTACAAGTATTAAGCAAAACCTGGATCTGTAACGCATCATTACACTGTAAGTTGGGTTTACTATCGTTTTAATTAAGTGACAAGACTGTAACAAGTCATTGCAACCTAGATTGATGCACAATACACTTACAACAATATGATAAACAGATGCAAACAAACAACACTAAGAAATAAAGAACGAACTGTTTTTAAGGAAATTCCTTTCGGATGTAATGTTTCATTGCAATCACATTTTTCATATTACGAAAACAATAGGTATCATTTCCGTATTTATTCCGTAAAGCATATGTTCTAGTTTAATTTTTGATACAATTTCAGATTTAAAAAAAGCATATTACATTTGCATATATTAATCCGCTGTTAATACTTATCAATTCTTTTATTGTTATTAGCATAACGTCCAGCGGCAAATATTTCATGAATAATCAGGATGAGATGACATGTCCGCACAAAAGCAACTGTCCAGACGAACATGGTGAAAAATTGCCCCTATCCCTTAGAATTTTTTTCAAGATATTGAGAGACAAGTCGAAAAACACCTTTTTATACCCACGCAACTTTGTTGCGTAGTGTATAGTGTTTTTACCCGTCAGTCCTGTTCTTGTCCACGCAAAATCTCGGAAACTACACTACAGAATTTCATGAATTTTTTTTAAATAAAGACAAACTATGGATTGGAGATGTCCATATCGACAGAAAATTGTGATTCAATTTTTTTTCTAGGAGTCATGCCCCTTTGAACTTAGAATGTTTCGCCTAAAATATACTTAAGTAACAGTGTATCATCGAAACTTTGTAGACAATTAGGACGTACTATGTAGATGTGCATATCGACAAAAATTATGATTCGATGTTTTTTCTAGGAGTTATGCTCCTTTGAATTTAGATTTTTCGGCCATGATTTACTACTGCAACAGTTTGTAAGCGCAATTCCTCTGAAAGCCCAAAACAAAATGTCATGAAACTTTGTAGGTAATAAGGACATATCATGTAGATGTGCATATGGACAAACAATTTTGATTCAATGTTTTTTTCTTCTAGGAGTTACGCCCTTTTGAACTTAAAATTTTGACCTAATTAAACTACTACAACAGTTTGTCAGCGCAACTCCTCTGAAACTACACAACAGAATTTCACAAACTGTAGTTAATGAGGACATAATATATTTATGTAGATGTGCATATCAACAACAATTTTTTATCAGTTGACTTTTGTAAGAGTTATGTGTCTTTGAACTTCGGAATCATGGGATACTTTGTTTGCCCAGTGACAATGTCGGGTATGTAAGCCTGCTCACAAAGGTTCTTTTTAATTGGTTCTTATTTTTTTCCCGCGCGACGCATTGAAGGGGACATAACTTACACTCAAAGGTTATCATGTTGAACGAATTTATCCCATCGAACTAGAGATAAAGGATACTACAGATACAGTTAAGTCTGCCTCATATCTTGACTTACATCTAGAAATTGACAATGAGGGTCGGTTGAAAACAAAACTTTACGAGTTGGTTGACCGTTATGGAATAACCGTTTCACAGATGATATCGGATATGTTCCTTATGTCGTAACTACAATACCCTTCCCTTTTCACGAATGTGACCTACCGAATTAGACTATTTACCGGATTTGTAATAACATAAGCAACACGACGGGTGCCACATGTGGAGCAGGATCTGCTTACCCTTCCGGAGCACCTGAGATCACCCCCAGTTTTTGGTGGGGTTCGTGTTGCTTAGTCTTTAGTTTTCTATGTTGTGTCATCTGTACTATTATTTGTCTGTTTGTCTTTTTATTTTTGGCCATGGCGTTGTCAGTTTGTTTTCGATCTATGAGTTTGACTGTCCCTCTGGTATCTTTCGTCCCTCTTTTATCAAACTTGTATAAAAGGTTTACATCAGCAATGTTTCGGATAAAATCAAAAATCACTGCAGATTAACTATTTTTAAAAGAGTAATGCCCTTGGAAATATTGTTTAAATAGAAAATTGCACAATAAGCGCTTTCAAGCCTACAATTTCTTTAAATATTGAGTTTTTTAAAGAAAAAAAAAATCAATATTGCCCTTCGACAGATAAAATATGTGCAGCGCAGGGGACACTGGAACTCTCTTCCTTTATGAATTTGTTTAAATAATCGCTTGAATTCTAACAAGTTTTATTTTCCCGTCGAAGATGTTGTTATTATGGTATGCAATAGTCCATCCGTCTGTATGTCTTTTTTCGTTATATTATCTCGAAAAGAAAAGAAAACACTACACATAAAACTGAATTCTTTAAGATCAAGCAACACGAACAGAACCAATAATCCGCGATGAATTTATGTGCTCCCCGGTTGGGCAAGCAGGTCCTGCAGATAGCAAATTAAACAGTATAATGATAGATTGGGGGTCGGGTCTAAATAAAAATCGATTGACTTGTTTAATGATTTGCCAAAATGTAGTTTATACATGCTATTTTCAAAAATATAATACAAAATGAAATAATAGGTATGATTGCCAATGAAACAACTACCTAACAGACCAAGTGACGTTTAAGCATATATAGGTCACGGAGCTTTCTTTTCAAGCGATAGGTTTTGCAAAATTGATAGATTTTTGTACAGATTATGCATGGGAAAAACTTGTGTGGATAGAAAGAGAACTAAGCAATAGAAATTAGAAATATCTGAAAATAGCTCTTATCAAATGTAAAAATCAAAATAGGAGTCGCGGAACGTTTTCCGACTACTAACAAAAATAGATGAATAAAGGTGGTATATAACAATACAGGGAGATAACTTTTTAAAATCAGCTAAACGTTTTAATCACGTTCTATTGTTAAGGAAGTATTAAGCTTCGCAAATGATCAAAATCAATGTTTGTCAATCTGCTATATATCCAATGAAATTTGTTGGATAAAGTGTGTGGTTCAAGTTTTTTGAAATTTTTATATTTTTGTCAAAGGGTCAAAGTAAAATACTTTGTCAAAATTTTATGAAAATTAAACGAGCCAAAATAATTTCAGTCAAGGTGTTTGGTACCACCTTAACGGTTAGTTCCTTTATAAAAGTAATTTAGTTGAGTTATCTCCCCTAAGTTAAATGGATACGTTTTTAAAAAAATAATTAAGAGAAAATATTAATTCTACATTTGTAAAGCAGTCGTAATAATAAGATAAACACATGAATTTCATTCGTATCTCAAATTGGCATCTATTATTAAAGATGATGATCTAGACTGATTGTTTTCTTCTATTTTACAATCTAAGATGATGGAACTCAAACGATCTACCATAAATAATGTTACTGAAAGCAAGCTCAAAGTACTTATCTTTTTGATGAGAACTGTTATTATTTCCACACTGAGCATTACGATGAGTGGCTCACCAGATTTGAGAATAGAGCAGTTGTGTGTTTATCCTTTATACCAAGATTACATATTGCCGTTTTTTTTCCCAGAATTAGCCATCTTGACTCCAGCAAAAGAAAATTAATTAGCTCAGCATATCTTTCTTTAATAGACCATGGCCAGAACGATGTAGGCACTAGCATTTTCAAATATGAAAAGTAAAAAGTTATCTTGTAGCCCCGAACGTGTTACTACAGAAAATTTTTCAGTAGCCCGCTATATCACTGCTTATCTTATTAAGGTGACGTTTTAGTATGTCAGGGTCCTTACCCTCAGCTGTCATTCTGCAGTTTGATTTAACATCATGTTCTCTTTACTTATTATTTTGTCCCTCTTTCGATGCAACGCGGAGCAGGGGGCATATCAATACCGAGAGTCTCCGTCCGACCGGTATTGTATGCACTCGCATTTCTAAAAAAAAAAAAAAAACAATGAATGGCCTGATTTTTTGACAAAACAATTTACGAAATTAAAATATGACACAGAATTGCACGCTCATGACTTCGAACAGACACATAGAATGTGGCGGGGTTAGACATGTTGGCGAGCGTTCAACCCACCTAAACACGGGACAGTGGCGAAAGAACAAACTGTAAAGGCTTTACTAATCAGTTAGGTACGAAGCACAACACAAACCATTTAACATAAAGAAATGACACGAAGTGCGAGTCTAAGAGTACTTGCAGTTGATGAAAGCTTGTTCAAAGCCAATTACAACTAATAAACAAATCTAAAGTATCAATATTACACAACAACTGGGTAATGTAAAGACGTCATGAACAGTCTGGTAAAGCTTGACCTTGTGCAATGCCAAAACATAAGCACATAATATGAGGGGCATGATGGAGGGGGGGGGGGTCTCATCACGATTCACGAGTTGATTTTTTTGTCAATCACGATTCACAGAAAATAAATTTCCATGATCACGGATCACGAAAATATAAAAAAAAAAAAAAAAATCTGTAGAAAAACGGATCACGATAGCGAAAATGCGCCAATCACGAAGAACGAAAATAACCCATCAGGCCCCTCATAATATCGACAGAATGTAGGGCCATAAGTTTTCATAAATGTACAGCAATACAAACCTAGTAATATTTTTATGAATAACAACCAACATCAATGTTAGTAACAATAAAAAATATGTCTAAAGACCTTATTACGGTTTGAAACCGATATCCTTTAAGAATAAGTTTATCGAAAGGATTAATGAGTATGAGTTTATATTAATCCGATTATAGTATCTAAATTTACAGGCTTTATAAACAATAGTACCGTAAATATAAGGATATGGTATCCCCTTTTTGATAAAAATTCTACAATACAGCCAAATTTCAAAATCAAATCTATGTATGCGGGAAATAATTTAGTCAAGACAAGGGCATGGCAAACAAGTAACGA